GAGCACGACCAATGCCAAGGCTATGCTGTGGCAAAAAAGGACCCAATCAGCAAGCAGCGTTTCCAAACTTCTCAGTGTTTCTAAAACGCCCCCTTGGAGTTTTCAAAATAAAGCGGCTTTAGAGTTATGTGGATGCCAGGTGGATCCGTAGCAGAGTTTTGAAATGAAAATGTAGGAGGATGGATGCAGCTTTAATCAATAACTCTTTAAATAAATCCAAAAACAAACAAGCAGCCAATGTTAACACTTTCTTGCTGCACAGAACGCCCTTTGACCTTCGAAAGCAACTTAGATATCACTCCTGTTTCATTAAATCCAATCATCATGTGATCTCCTGCTCCAGTTGTTTACAGTGTTTATGGCTATAATCTATCCTTTGGCTTATCTCACAGTGTAAGTGATACAAGAGATGGGGGGTGGAGGGGGGCCCATTCATTGTGGAGGGCCCTAAAACCTGAGTAATGGTCCCTAAATGAGGGGATCATCATTCCTGTGTGATGGCACATGAATTTGATTAACAGTAGGGGGGGGACTAGGTCATTGATCAACTTGATGATCTTGGGAATTTGATCCCTTTTGTTTTGAGCTGGATGATTGGAGATGATCCCGAAGGAGGATTAATAATAATAATAACGGAGGAATAAACACGTCACGGGGGTCTCGGTGTTTACTCTGAGTCACTGGCCCAACAGTTATGGAGGCAGCGAGGGGGGGGCATTGTGGCGGGGCACGGTGACCGGGGGCTTGCGTTTCAGAGGGAATGTGCGCATTAACAGCAGCTTTAGAGAAACGCGTCTCGTGTGCGTCACGGCTTTGGGCTGTTCGTTTGCTCTCCCACGACTGGGCCCGTGCTGATAACAGACAGCTGGGCCCAGAGACGCATGACATCATTATGGGATAACTTTGTTTGGTTGGTTATAAAAACGACTGTTTCCACCCTTCCATCCATACTCAAAGACATAGGCCAATCCTTAAAATGTAAGATGAATAAAATACAACCGATGCCATATTTCCATGCACAGCATTTATTTCACTTTCTTTTATTTACGCAGCAATGCAAACACCATCCATATTCACAATGTGGCCATGAGGGCTATTTGAAGGCATCATTTTTATAGTAGTCTCCATGGTTACTCCTGTCAGGGGGGTTTATCACTTTTATAAATGATCTTCTAGCTTCCATATCTCTGCAAACATGCTTTCTGATAAAAGTCTGTTTGGTTATAAACAACACGGCCCTTAACCTCCTCGAACCTGGACATACAAATTAAGGGAAATTGCTCGTGTATTTATTGTTACCTTTATGGCTCACTCTCGGCTCATTTTCACCTATCTTTTGTGTGTGCCCCCCCACCCCCCATCATCAATCGCGGCCCAATCATCTCCCAGTGTTAGCTGAATACAGGGGGCAGCCTGTCTCCAGGGGGTCGCACCCTTTATCACCCACCGTGTGCACACAGGTGTGGAGCTCAGTCCACTCTCTCGCTGAAAAAAATGCCAGCAGGAACTCTGCGCCTCTGGCTCCTCGTCGTCGCCCTCCAGCCAAGATGCGTCACCCAGCTCGCCATCCCACCTCGGGGCAGAGGATGGGCGGCGGCGCGACGCGGCGGTTCGGACGAGACAACAAAGACCGTTAGCGAGCACCTGGACGCGCTGAAGGAGTCACTCCGGGGTCCGGCGGCGGCGGCTCCTCACAAGAAGGCGCCTCAGTTCATGTTGGATCTTTTTAACGCAGTGTCGGTTTCGGACGGGACGCCAAAAAGTCAGAAGGAAATTCTGGAAGGAAACATCGTGCGGAGCTTTGTGGACAAAGGTGAGCAGTAACAAACCTGGCAACTGGATTTTACGCACGAGGCACGGTTGTTTATTGAGAAATGTATTTTGGACATAAGTTAAATTTACTTGACTCAAGTAAAAACTATGGAAAAACGCGTGCGTAAATGTCATCCAAGCGCGCAATTACGCATGGCTTCGTATATTTAACAGTTAATTGTGGAGAATTGTCTCTGAAATCGGATTATTTCATCGCTTCATATATGTGTGCTGGATGTTTCCCCGCCCGCAGGTCATGCTGGAGAGAGGTTTCACTTCTTCAACCTGTCCTCTTTCGGCAGAGAAGAGAGAATGATCAAGGCGGAGTTTCGTTGGTTCAGGAAGAAACAAAAGTTTTACCTCGGAAAGTCATTCGGGGCTCATTTCTATAAGGTAAAAGCTTTATTTTGTATTTAGTCGAAATGTTTGTGACTCATGTACCGTAAACAGTTAACCTGCTCTAATGTCTGCACAGACCATTTGAGAATTTAGCCGAAGAGGTTTGAAAGTTTGACGGTGAAGTGACAGTGTTGTGTTCTGACTGTCCAGGTGGATCTGTACGAGGTGTTGGACAGCCGGGTGAAGCCTTGGAGAGGAAACCTCATCACCTCCAGACTGGTGCCTCTCTACACTCAGGGATGGGAGGTCTTCAACGTGACTCAAACAGTAATGCCCTCTTTATTTTGTTTTATTTATTATGTTTAAAATAATGAATCTTTAATAAAACCTCTTATATTTGGCATTTTGTTGTTTTTCTGTCACCACTAAAGTGTCTTCATTTGATTGGACTAAAACAACATTGGTTCACATGAAGTAATTGTTTACTTTAAGTATTTCCCAACTAACAATAGTTGAATCTTGACAGGTATCTAAGTGGATCCGTAACAGCCAGGAGAATAACGGCATCCTGATGGTGACCACCCTCCCTTCTGGGAACTGGATGGAGTCAGCGGTGGCCTCATCCAAGCAGAACGCAGAGCTGACAGAGGCAAACTCCTACCTGGTCATATTCTCAGATGACGTCAGGACAGGAGCGTTAAACCAGTCATACCTAGGTAAGGTGCAAGGGGCAGCGGTGTGTGAGTGTGTTGATATGAGGGTAAACAGACACGAGAGGGGCATTTATCTGTGTTTGCATTTGAATTGCAGTAGCTCAGTTGTCACAGAATCAGTGTGCAGGCTCTGACTCCAGCTAAACATTGCAGCAGCCGAGGTGACTGCACTGTGTCCATGATTCTATAATACATCGTTATTATAAGTGGCAGTTGTACAAGAAGTTTTAATATATCACTATTTGAATTTACCTTGCAATACATCACGTGCATCACTAAATAATTACACTACATATTAGTCCTGGTTGTTTCTTGTATTTTTAATTACATATATAACTTACCATTGAAAAAATAAAATGTCTGGATTCAGTAAACAAAAAAACAACTTTTGTCTATTTATTCAATGTGTGTCATTTCAGTTGCCTGTAATATCCTAATGTCTGTTTGTACCCTGTTTATAATTTTTTTTTTTTTACTTGATGATTCTAATACCTACATAAGAAACCACAGCCTTCTAAATGACATGTATGAGTTGGATGCAGAGGAAATGTGTCCCATCTGCTATGCACTTGTGTTGTGTTTGATCTGAATGACAACAAAGTCAATCTTGGATATTCAATCTAACGTGATCATCTCTCTCTTTCCACAGGACAAGCTCAACCACCAGCAGCAGCAGCAGCAGCAGCAGCACCTGAGCGCCACGACCACCGCAGCAGGAGGCGACGAGCATCTCCCAGTTCCTCACCCCACGGCCACTCCCAGCCCTGCCAGCGGGTCCCCCTCTTTGTTGACTTCGAGGAGATCGGCTGGTCGGGCTGGATCATCTCTCCACGGGGTTACAACGCCTACCACTGCAAAGGCTCCTGTCCGTTCCCGCTGGGGGGCAGCCTCAGAGCCACCAACCACGCCACGGTTCGCTCCATCATGCACGCACTCAAGCTCTCGGGCAACGAAGTGGGAGCGCCCTGCTGTGTGCCCGACAGACTCCAGTCCATCAGTTTGTTATATTTCGACGATGAGGAGAACGTGGTTTTGAAGCAGTACGACGACATGGTGGCTTTAAGCTGCGGCTGTCACTGACTGTGCACTCTTAGACATCAGGACAATGCTGGACAGGGAGGACAGTTTACTTGAGTTGATTAAAACACTGTATTTTTGTGCATATGTTTAAATATTGTATTATTTTTTAGAAATAAAATTCCCCAACTATTAAGCAGCCCTTGTCTAGTTTAGTTTATGGATTCCATAACATTTACATTACCTGATTTACTATAGTTGACAACAAAACCGTTTCAATGATCCTTAGTTGAGATGGGAGGGGAGCTACTTCAGTTTAAACCTGAGTCCCCATATACTCACCTGAGTGTCTGGAGCTGGAGTCGGAAGCCTCTCAGGTCTTCCCGTGGTGCTGAGCCGAACCGTGACACTGTGATCTAAGCTAATGAGGATGTAAACTAATAGGCAGTGTTAACAGAGCTTATTAATTGTGTTAAAGGTTTACAACCAATTTTCCCTACCTATATCAAGATGGAAACAGCCCAGCAGTCAGTAAGAGATGCTCCTGTGAAATGTAACATACTGTACAAGCTGATTTGACCAGCAGATGGCAGAGTAGAGCTGTAGCTGAAGACTACAAACCATCAGTTGTCATTCTGAACAGAATAATTACACTCTCATAAATAAATAAAGAGTTTTCAGTTAATTGAAGAGTTACCTGCCTAACATTAGTGCATATTAGCCTACTCTACAGGCCCTAAGTTCATCAAATTTGATCATAAATAGTTTGTAATTACAAAGTTATTGTTAAAATAAATTACAACTCAATTAAATGATTCACAAAAATGTTAGATAACAGCAATTGTCATAACCATAACGCTACTATTTGGTGAGTGACAACTAAAGTAACTAATCAAAATTGTATTTGTTGTACCAATAGAGGTGAAAATGTCACATCGAGAGAATTACAAAATCTGTGCTATCTGTGATTGGAAGAAACTTTAATTGCCAGCAAAGAATGAAAACAGGTTTTGTAGTTTTATGTATTCTTCATTTTGACTGTTGTGCTTTAAATGAGCAATGAGTGGAGTGAAATGAATAACACTGGTACAATGGAAGTCTGCAAAAACAGTTGTTTTTTATTGGAATGGATCACAGACACAATACAGCCCTGCTTTATTCTAGTTTAGAAAAATGCCAATGCAACAAACCTGCAAAATCAATTCTCCTTTATATCCTCTGCTTGTTAAAAAAAAAGATCGATTTCAATCATGCCAGTTCAAGCATTTACATGATATAAATTAACTCTATGTCGTATCAGACATATTCAACAGGTGTAACGGCAATTTCAACTTCAGCATGCAAAGACTCTGAATTTAGTTGCGTGAAAACAATCAGCTGAAATCAGTAACAAATTAAAGGTTTGATTTTTTTCAACAAACTTTGCAGGTAATAAAACAAAAAAGGCCACAATACCTGAAAAGTAGTAGAGATCAAAACACCACTGTAGTTCAATATAACAAACAATAAATATTCCACATTTACATTCAAGCTTACCCTATCTGTGTACACTTAAATACATTATGTACATGGATCATCCATGTCCATTTTCTGTCATGAAAATTGCACATTGTCTTACACAAATCCCTAAAATCACATTCAAACGACAAGATTCAACAGCAACTCTTCATTCACTCACAAATTCATGAATTCTTCGCAGTTTACAATCAAGTCAAAAAACTCCCTCTTTATAAATATGAAAGAGATCTTCACAAAGCCCACACAGCTTCTGTGTTTCATGAAAGTTTAAGGCAAGTAAAGCAAAACAAGAGTCAACCAGCTGCATCCAGAAAATATTGAACCTTGATTCAGTTCCAACCTGATTCTCATAATATTACAACTTTATTCTGGAAATAGTTTTTCCTCAATATGGCCATTATACTCGATCATAGACAAACAGCATTTGAATTTCAGAAAGCTCAGGGGCTTCATCATATTCAACATTCAACAGTCAAATGTCAAAAACAAGTCATTGTGGTTAATGTGGGAAATTGCTAAAGTAAAAGTATAAATGGTAGGTTGAATGAAAATGAAAAATTTGACACTTCTTTATAAAATAATTCCTGGGATGCAATGAACACAACAATTTGATGAGAGACAACAGCATACGAGGAAGGGGGATTTTTTTCCTTTGGAACTTCATGACCTATCAGCTTGGACAGTCCAGCTCCTCAGTGCCCAAGAACTCCCCCAGTATGTGGTCATGTTGACCATAGACAGGCTCTAAATATGGATGTCCCTCCTTACAGTGCATTTGCCTTGACCTTTCTAGGCATCTCTGCTCAAACTCCTCTGGCTCTAAAACAGCAGTTTGAACGGTAGCTTTCTGAGCCATGGGGGACAGAGGCACTGGCACAAAGCTGTGGTAAACAACCAGAGGTGGGGTCAAGACCTCCATGGGGGAAGCCTGAGGAATAGCACCCTCTGGGGGCTGTACTGGCAGCTGCACGTAGCTTCCTGTTTCGGGATCAAAGAACGTTTTTGTCTTGATTTGTATGGGCATGTCGACGAAGAAATACTGCCCCGAGTCTGGATCCTGGAGGAGCTTACGTTGGGTCATAGGGAACGACTGTGCAACAATGGCATGCTCGATGCTGGACTGGCGTGAATGCTGGCTGGTTTGGCTCGACTGGCGGGACAGAGTTGGAGGGTGAGATGCTTCGGTGCTGTACGCATCAATGCTCTGACTCCTTCTCAATGGGTTCTCTCTGCTCGCCTTGTCTCTGGCTCGGCCTCTCTGCTGAATCCCATCCATGATGGATTTCTCAATGCGCTGCGTTCGTGGATCAAACCTCTCGTTCACTGACATATCGGCACTAAACCTGCGTTCCACTTTATCTCCCAAGTATCTATCAATGCTTTGCGACCGCTGGACTGGTCTGTCTGACATGGGGCTGATGTGAGATTTGTACACAGGTACGTTACTGATGACCCTATCAGTGCTGTAATGTCTTTTATCGGTGTTATCTCGAATGTGTCTGTCGCTGCTGCGGCCTTGCCTTTCTGTTGCAACACTGGGTAGTGCTTCTTTGCTCAGCTTGTTGCTTTCCGCCGACTTGTGGCTCCGTCTCGTAGTATTGCGGTTCATCTCTGTTCTGTCTTGATGCTGGTTTTCACTGTTGTGAGCTCTTTTTTCAGGGAGTAGTTGCTCACTTCCTTCACGGTTTTTTCTACCATGGTGATCTTCACTCTGATGCTGGTGCTTTCTCTCGATGCTCTTGCTATTCTTACTGCTGCTGCTACTTTTTTGCTCAGTTTTGTCAGCCTTGTGTCTTTCTGCTCTGTGTTTGCTGCTGCTTTGAGATGGCTTGTGGGGGGACTTCTGGGCTTCCTCCTTCTTCATTCTTCTATTTGTCAGCTTAATGGCTTTCAGAACAGCCTTTTCAGATTTGGGTAAGACAACGGGTGGTTTGGTTAACCCAGTTTGGCTTTCATTTCCACTGTAGGTTGATCCTGAGCATTCGCTAGGAACCTTGGACACACCACGCTCTCCTGGGACTCCTGCACCCGTTCCCATCTCAGCTGTGCTGATTGTTAGGCTCTCCACACCTTCAGATGATGGACTCACTCCAGACAACCTGTCTTCCTCCTGTTGGACAGTAAGGAACTGTCCAAGTTGGGGTTTCTTTGGGATTTCATTTAGTAGATTTGAAGGTGAAGGCAGCAGAGGAGGCGAATCGTTGGTTACCATCATTTTAGGTATCAAGGATTCTGCTGGAGGTAAGGTCTCACTGGTAGTGGTCTCATTAACCAGTGTGAGCTCTGGGGCTTCCTTTGCTTGATCTCCCCTCTCTGAACCCCCCAGACTACCTCTCAGTACCCAAGGTTGTAGTGTCTTCTTTGACTTAACATTAAAAGTGTTGTCTTTGACCTTAAATAAAGACGGGATTGCCAAAGTTGGGGAGAACGTGTTAGAGGGGGACAATGGGGTCGGAGTTTTTTCGTCATGAGATAAACTTTCATCTGCAGTTATATTGTCTCTGATCGTGCTGTCAACTTCTGCCTCTTTTTGAAGTACTTTTATCGCTCGCTTCATGACCTCTGACTCATTTTCATGATCACTCAAAGAATAATATTCCACTTCATTCCTGTCCAAATCGTGTTTCATGTTTTGTGAAACATTTTGCATTTCCTCCTCCACCTCTCCAATCAAGTTCTCCAGCGAGTGGTAAATGTTGGACTCAGTCTCAGTGTTTCGCTGCAGTGCACTATCTGCAGAGAAGTAAGAGGATTTTGAGGACAAGCTAGCTTGATCAGGTGGGCTCTGATTGACACTAACACCATTCACCAGTAGTAAAGGTGACATTATGTTTCTGGGCGTTTCACTGATAGCCTCTGTATCTACATTTACTTCCTCTATGTGTCTATATGTTTTGTCAGATTCATCTTCTGCAACGATATTCTTGGTTACTTTGTCATCTGGTGTGATTAGCAGATGGTCTGGTCTTAAAGGGGCCTTTCTCTTTACCTTAGGTGCTTCCTGTGACTTTGCGTTTTCAAATGCGGTTTCCACTTTGGTGCTCACTGTCTGTAAATTAGTTGGCTCGTTTTCATCTCCCTTGAACTTTGGTGATAAGTGCAAGCTATTTTCAGATTGTAGGTAGTTTGAAGATGAGATGGGCTCACATTTAACTGCATGACTAGCTGTAATAGATTTTGAATTTGCTTTATTTACCGCATCCCACATGTCTTTATCAGAAAGTTGTTCATTTTGAATGGGTAGAGTTTCTTTTGTGAACTGTTCACTTTCTTCTTCTTGTTTTCCTGAGCCTGTCCTCATCTCACTCAAGCACAACTCACCATTTTCATATTTCACAACTTCGTCTAAGGCATCCTCATCTACTGCATCATTTGAAATATTTATTTCCTTAATAATGCTGTCATCTCTTCTATTGTCTCCTTTTTTACTCCTAGGGGGAACAGGCGGAGCATCTAACTTTGTGCTTCCAATTTCATTACTCAGACTTTCACCACTGTCTTCAGACACTTGTCTCGCTACATCTCTGAAATTCACCACTTCTGACTCATAGCTAGGATTATCAATAACATGTTTAGTTTTAAGGAGTGAGTCTAGCTCATTGCTAGCTCGAGCTTTCCTACCACCCAGTTTTTGGGTCTCACCATATCTAGGTTCAGTTTGTGACAGAATCTGCCTCACAAGATTGCGGTCTCTCAGATCGCTTAACCTCTCCTTTAGTTCTTTCTCCTTTACTGCAGAAATGCTGCCATTTTGTCTTTCCTTGCCCTCTATCATTGAATCATTCATTGTGTTTTTACATTGCTGTCCCCTTGTTACATAACATTCATCACTAGCGTTGTCATCAAATGTTGAATTATCGTCTTCTGGGAATTTATTCCTTCTCTTCTCCCTCTCTGTAATGATCTCTTCAAGTGCCATTTTGGCTTTGTCATAATTGTCATTTATAAGTGCTTTGTTTACCACAACGTTATTGTCTATCTTTGTGAAAGCCTCCTGCTTTCTCAGTTCTTTCTCTGTCTTGGCAAACACATCTCTCTTAGCTAATGTGTTCCCTCTCACAGATAGCATGCCCTTCTTTATATTACGAAGCTCCCTTGAGATCAAATCATTCTTAGCCCTGGCCTCCTCATCAATGTTTATAATCCCAAATTTGTTCCTGGCGTTCTCAAGAATGCGATCGCCAAGCTTTGCTCTCTGCAGCTCTTTCAGAGAATGCAAATCATTCATAATATGCTCGCTATCTCTCACTTGTTTCACCGACATCATATTCTCATCCACCTCTGACCTTGTACTCACATTAAGATCACGTTCCTCATATTCCTGTACTTGATCATCATCTGTCACTGCAAATCTCTGATTTTTTATGTAATTGTTCTGTCTGGCTGAGAATATATGTTTGCTCTTCATTTGTTTTGAGACAGATTCATTTTCTTTCTCTGGTAAATTTAGTTTTGCATCCACTGAATTACACCTGTCAACATTATGTGTCTGATGTTTGTCAAAAGTAAATTCAACATCAGTTTTTGCAAAATTTCTCTTTGGAACTGGCGGTGGCTCTTTCTTGACAAGATTTTGACCAACCAGCACTGTGCCAGTTGATTCATTTCTACTTTGAGAGAAAACTTTGTTTTCTAATAATGAACCATCCCTCTTGTTGCTAACATTTTCCTTTGCATAAGCAACCTTCTCATCTACTTCTCTCTCTTTCATTTCTTCTATGTCTGAAATTGGCTTATCGATGCTCTCTGGCTGAGTCGCAGACAGAGCTTTGTTTTTTGCTGCATTAATTGCTTCCCTCGCTGCTCTGATCAAATCCATAGTATTCATGGTTTGGCCACTAGCCTCTTTTTCCTTAAAAACAGGCTGAGCTCCAGAGTCTATTTCTTTTGTGTCTTTCACCAGCTGTTTTGCTTTGTCTGGTACATCTGTAAGTCTTTTCCCTACCGATAAATTTGATGACAACCTCTGGTTCTCAATGGCATGGGGTGAAATTATGGGTGATAGATCTTTGCTGACATTTGAAGTGTTTGGCAAAGGCCTTGTGTTTGTTGGCAGTGCAGTTGGGGAGAGCTCTTTGTTGAGCATTAGTGGTGAAAGTTCATCTGTCACAGTTGGTTGGTCTGTGCATACAGGAGCACCACTGCTCACAGGAACTTGAACATATTTCATATCACTATCAACAGGTTTGGTTTTCTTGTACAAATTCAGAGAGGGGTAGTTTTGCTTCTTACCCATGGGGCTCTTGTTCTTTTTAGAGCGTGTAAAGGGTGATATCAGATTCTCCTCACCATAACAAGCCTCCCTATTCGTTTGCAGTAGATTTGATAACAAATAGTCATCTGATAGAGGCCTGTTGGTATTGTTGTTTGTAACACAAACAGTTGGGCTGTTTTTCGATTCCAAGATAGGACTGCAAACTGTCTGTCCATCTCTAAAGATGGCAGGGGTGCTTAGGCCAGATGCGTTGCCCTCAGAGCCAGCTTGTGGATGCTTATAATGATCTGATTGTGGAGATTGGATGCCACTATCAGGCAACTCTATAGTTTTGAATTTAGGTGGGCTATAACGACTTTTAACCCTTTTCCTATTGTCTTTGAGGTTGAAGAGGATGCTAGAGGCAAGTGATTTGTAGCTGTCCCTCTTGACTGGAGGTTCAGGGGTAACTTTGGCCTCAGAGTGCGGTCTAAGTGGAAGGTCAAGGACAGAGGGTGAGAGGACCGAGAGGATCTCTGACGTTTCCGTTGGTTGTCTGGAGGGAATGAGAGGAGTCATCAGTTGGCAGATGCTGAATGGAGTAGAGGCCAAAGAGCTGACCTCCTCAATTGCTTTCACCTCCACAGATGTAGGCTCCTTGACCAACAAAAGAGTTTCATCTACTGTCTTTAAATAATTGACCTGACTTGGTATTCCTGGCTGATTAACTGGAATTGCACTTTTTGCCCTTGACCTGTTGCGCCTCCAGGGGGCAATCCCATCTCCTCCCTCCGAAGAGCACCTCTTCTCAGCTGGAGCAGCTGAGGGCTTTGGCAGGACTTTTGGTGGAGGAGGGGGAGGGATGGGTTTAGGAGCAGTGGGAGGAGGGGGCTCTGCTGCTGCTTTCTGGCATGACTGCCCCTCCACTGTATGCAGAGTCTCTTTTCTATGTGCATCTGTGAGCTCCTTGTAAAATGGCAAGTCGTACCATTTAGGGATATTATCTGTGGGAAGAATAGATGATGCTGTCTCCTCTTGGCCAAAGGAGAACTGGTTAAAATCTCTCCATGTTTGGAAAGGGCTAAACTCACTGTGGAGGAAAAAGTTTTTGATGTTAAGTTTCCTTAGTTTGACAGTGGTTTTCCCGTTTTTGATCTTTGAGGATTTCCCTGAGGGCAGGGCAGCATCTTTGCCTGTTTTGTTAGATGAACTACCACTGGGGTGATGTCGATGATGGTTCTTGTAATGTCCCTCCGTCAGATTGGTATGATAATCCGTGGAGAATTCCGATAACTCCCTTTGGATGCTGCGTAGTGCTGACTTATCCCATGATTCCCCATTAGAATCCGTAATACCTCCATTTTTGATTAACATCCCCTCACAGCTTTCCTCTGTGGCACTCAGTGCCTTAAGGAAAGATGTCATGTTAGATATTTTCTTTTGCTGCTGCTGTTTCCAGGGCTGGGCGTCTTTTTTGTCACAGTTTTTTTGCCCTTGCTTTTTAGATTCCTTATGATGAGTCTTTTTAAGAGGCTCCCCTGCCAAGGGTTTATGGCAGCTGAAAGGTGAATATCCATACAACAACTCATCATTATAAACTGCGTCATCTCCAACGCAGAGACTTCGGAAGGCTCGATCAGTGAGAGTGCTGACCTCGCGATCCGTCTCATCCATGAACAAGTCAGTGAAGCCATTGGGGAAGCGATGGTGAAGCATGCCCCCCACCCGATGACTCACGTGTCGCTTTTCCACACAGCTCATGATGTCAACAAGTGTCTTTCTGTCTTGTGCATCACCAGTCTTGTCTCCTCTAGAGCTGCTGCAGCTCCGTAGGTCTTTATTGGTTTTGCAGCTCAGGTTTATATCAGGGAAGTGGTGGGATATGTAAACCTCCTAAAGAGAAAAATAGAGTGAAATCAGTAACAGCATTAAATGGCTTTGACTTTAAACATACTCACTTAGCTGCATATTAAAAGCTATGATAATATAAACACTTCAATGGTTTAATGGCATGCAAGCGGTTTGTTAGATTGATTACTATAAATGGTTTTAAACTCTGTGGTTGCCCTGATGACCTTTATGTACATGACATGTGCCGGCTTCAGCCCTGGTGTCACTATGCAGGCGACAGACAAACACTTCATACCATGCACTTGTCTATTTTTAACACTGTGGTACCTTGAGTTATAAGCACTGCTTGCAACTATGAGAACAACCCTGACTCCATTTACAGTAATAACATTAGGAAAATAAAATGGCCATTTCAATTGTTTATGTCCTTTGCAGGGCCCAAGATTCATGCTAGCCCCCTTCAAATTGCCTTCATACCCTTTTCACATTCAATAGAATTGTGTGATTATTATAGAGACGACTCATCTGCAAAACTCTCAAGCAACGTTCATGAAGGTTTACACTACAGAGTTCAGGAAATGTAAGTAAATCATCACATTACTCAAAGTGTACCTCAACAGCAGCTGCTCTACTGTAGCTTTCTTTAGCTATCTGGGTGAGGGCCTAGAATAGCTCATTAACCCATTTATATGTTCTGACCTGGGAGCATAGCCACTGGCATATAACTCATCTCTTCAACTATCCACACAACCACGACTCTCCTTATAAGCAGAAGACATTGACTGAGACAAATATAAATATAGACATTACATGATTTGGTGGCATATTTGATTGTATGTGTGCATTAAAATCATTGTTTTTTAATAGTTTGTTAAGTACAGTAATAATAGTCAAGCAGTCCATTTGCTCTCATGCTCACGGTCAAGAATGATGCACAATTGAAGCAGCAGAAAACATGTTATATGTTATAATAATAGTTATTGATAATTATTATAAAATTAATGAGACTTTTTGACTTTACTGTATCTTGCTCTTAGCTTTCAGAATGTGTAGGCTTTCCAACAGACTCTGGTCTTCCACTACAGATCAAAACTAACAACCCAGGTTCAATTACTTGAACCTTGTGTCTTTACTGTATCTTACGACTAACTAACAGAATGCGTTTACACTCTATTAGTCTGGGCAGCAACCATTTTCCAGCTTTTAACAGCTAAGTTAGCAATGACTCATCCACATAAACATATTATTATTATTATTATTGTCATTGTTATTATTATTGAAACCTAACAAGACTGGTTAAATGGCTAATACTTAGCCATTTTACTGAATCGCACAACTAATATGCAGAATGGCTCTCATAACCACATATAAGTTAACAATCACACACCATCATCATTATAATTATTATTATCAATAAAACCCAACAACCCAGTTTAAATGGCTAGAACCTAGTGACTTTACTGTATCTTGCGACTAACTAAGTATTTTGGCTTTTCATTCGGCTATGGTCGCCAACAATCTCCCAGCTCTCATAACCACAGATCAGTTAGCAACCACGGTACTTTCCCAGCATCTGCTTGTGTATTTATACCCAAGGAATGAAGCACCCCAGTTAACTTTACTGTTTGAAGAATATAAGTATATATTTTTCCCAAATATGTCTAGATTATTGCTGTACAGTAAATGATATGGCAGTATTTGTGTCTAATGATTGAAAAACGTCTGTAGATGCAAAACATAAAACTTGAACTATATTATATTCTGTCCAATGGCCTTCAGTACTTTCTATGTTTTTGTAAACATCTATATAAACACACTGCTCCCTCACCTTGGTGATGGGTCGCTCTCATTCTGAGGGCGAGGGTCCAATCTAGACTCGGGTATCAAACAAATCCTCAGTATAGAGTCGAAGAAACCAGTAAAGTACGACCTGCTGAGCATAAAGAAATTCCAATTGTCTTTCACGGTAAACAAAGTTATTCTGTTGAAGTTAAATAAACAAAGAAAACTCACCAAAGTGAGTCAAGCCCTCAGATCCATGTTTAAAATGCACTGATGTGGCCAGGCTCCTGATAGCAAACTCAGAAGATACCAAAATAGACGCACAAGTCGCTGTGGCCAAACTGAGCAGCAACACAGGGTGCTGGTGGCTCGCTCTCATTGGAATAAGCAGTGGGTGTCGAGTGGCAGGGCAGCAGGATGAAATGGACACTGTCATTGGTTATTTTTGTATCTAAGCACTGAGGGCTGATAGGTTCCCACATGGACCCTCTCTTTACTGTTTGGCACCTTTGTCGACAGTGGATCTTCATGTCAGTGACGATGAGACGTCTATCAGTTGAATGTTGGTGGAGACAGTGCAGACGGGGTGGGTACTCACCTGGTTCCCAACACTACTGGCTAACATTTAGCTGAGGACACATTTTGCCTTTGTCACCCAGGGAAACAAGGTCTCTGATAATAGCCCATTGCATCACACATGTCTAATGTAGTGCGACAGTCCCTGAAGCTCCACTTGGTAGCTGGAAGCGGATGTCTGTGGACTTATATGACTATGGTGGGGCTGGGATGATTATTGTTGTTCCAGCTCTGTTTACAAGGTCATGCTGCGGACATGAAAGTGTGAGTGGGGTTGTCTAGTTTTAGGACCAATGCAGCTGTTGTTGCCGTGAGATTGAGTTGAAATGGAGAGGGAATATTGTTGACTTGTTGCCCTGTGCGAATCATAGGAAGTCAGTGGATGATATCACATGTGAAGGATGACCCTGTGCATTCCCTCAATGGAGAAAGTTGAGTGATTAAGAAATGCTGTGGGCTCAGCTTGTTTTTGTATGTCATAAGAGAGAAAATGCTTATTTACCACCGCTTATCCTGCAAACTCTTTCATTGCAAGAGCTGTTAGTTTGTTTTGTTAAATTGTACTTTAGTTGTACCTAGTATGATTACCAGACTTCATCAGGTAGTTTATTTCCAGAAAAATTTGTGTCACAATGCATACAATTTTTCTGTTGAGAAATCCTTTCCCCAACAGCAACTCTATGGCCATGCTCAAACTGGATACACTACACCTGTTGTACGCTATAAAATTTGCAGAGCGTGGTCATGTCAGATGAACAATCACACATTTTTAGGATGGGCTTGTTTAACATCAACTTCTCTCACAATAGATGCCAAGTTAGTAGTGCAACTATTTACAGCTTGTGATTTATGGTTTGTTAGGTGAGCAATATTCTAATGCGACGCAAATTTGATTACATACAAAGTCAATGCAAGACGTGCATCACATTTGACACAAAATATTTGAACTTGGGCGTCAAATACATGTGACACGATGTCGCATCATTCAATCAGCACTGAGAATGAAACTCGACGGACTCAATCCTGGCACCGAGCTAGAGGGTGATCAAACTGGTCACACATTCATACAGTGCATCTATGTGTAGGATATTCTCTGCCATACATCACTCACAAACTGCAGGCAGTGTAGGGTTCAGTATCTTTCCCAAGTCATGTGGAATGGGGAAGACATGGATCAAACCTCCAGCCTTGTGGTTAGTGGACAACCTGCTCTAGATCCTGAGCTAAAGTCCATTGTTTTAGCCTCAACTCTGTTTGAGCGCACCTTCCACTGAAAGTTGCCATAAATGCACTTTTGAGACCTGTGACCAAGGACATGTGACATGTTTAAGAAGAGGGAGAAGGTGTGTGTGTGTGTGTTAGAAGGACATGAAATGCATGAACATGTAGAGAGTGAGCAACGGGAGTTAATGTTGCATTTTTGACTGTTGATAGCTCAGGGTTCAGCATACAAAGCCGTATTATTGTGTCCGGGGCTGTTTGCCCACAAACAGGCCAATGGCTTTACTGCTTGAAAGTATTCTGAACTTGGCATAAAGAAATCTGCGAAGCTGGAGAGGTAACAGTTCAGAAGTACACAAATTGAGGCACAGCACGTTTGACTCTATGTTCCCCCTAACATCCATATGCTGTGCTCCATTATGGTGCCATTTTTAAGTCAGTCTATTCCTGTCATGTTGTATTTCATAAGGTTACAGCTTGCCTCTTTGCTGACTGCACCCTCCACACTTCAGCTAATCAATCACACCTTGCACGTGAGCTGACTGACTTTAGGTAGCAACATGAGCTCTTTTCTCTGCACTGTCCTTACATTTCCACTAAATAGACAGATACACTTGTATTATGTCTCAGTCAAAGTGCATAATCTGGTTTTAAAGATCAAACTTCAATCTGGTTTTTATTATTGCACTTTAGATGTGTCACATGGTGTTTTTATTTTAAACAGGGAAAGGTCCCAGTATTGTATTGTGGAGTTTGACTTACTTGCTGAGCAGTGTTGGAATATCATGTTATGAGCAGAGACACTGTGTGTGAGCATTTTTCTTTGACTGTCTCCAGAATTAGGGCCTCACATGGACCGGCCTCCTGCAGCCTGTTCCTCACCTTCCTCAGTGCTTGTTCTAGCTAACACACAGTTATTCCACATGTCCAAATCAAAAGGGTTTTGCACGCTATAATGAGAGTTGAAGTGAAATACACACCAAACATTAGCTTTAGGACGAGACTCTGTAAACTGTAAAACTATAGTTTTGAACAGTGACTGTTCTATAAGTTTGTTGCCTCATTATTTATGGAGAGAAATGGCAGTAATAATTACTTTTGTTTGTAGAGAGTAATTAAGGTAGCGTTCAATTACTTACATCCTGATGTATTTGCTTGTTACAGTCTTTTCCTTAGTTGGACCAAAGGATATTTTGACTGTTGGAGGCTGAGTATGAGGTTACGAAAAAGTCAACTTATTATCATGATTCTGCATTGTGAAGAACCTTTGAAAGAGTTTGGTTAATCTTCGTCGACTTTTTTGATATGAGTTATGGACTTTTGATTTACTTTGGGATACCTTGTGTTTGAACTTGTTTTGTATTTCTAGACTTTGGCCTTGTTATTTCCTTGTGTTTTCAGGCTATATCTCAGCTGTGCACTTTGAGCTGATTTCTTCCTGTTTTAGTTTGTAGCTTCTTTCCTTGTGTCTCTATCTCTCGTTTAATGTCCTGTTTTGGGAAACAATGGCATCACAGGTTACTCTGTGCCCACTGAGCGTTCACCAGAAACAGCAATGGCTAAATACTGGTTAATTTACGTTTGGTTAGCACTGCTAGGTGTAATTACAAGTTTGGAGTCACAGACATCTGCCTCACCAGATATAAAAGCAAATACATAAATGTAATACGATGATCAACTATTTTTTTGTGTTCTCGTCTGGACAGAAATATTTTGTAAAGCTAAAATTGGGTGGATTGAGATTGCTTTTATATGTGAATATGTGATGTGATGTGATGAAGCCCAGTGCAGTGGGCACAATACCCAACGTTTGTCTGTGCCACTATGATTGACACCCACATGTGTTTTGTTTGGCTGCAGAGCAACAGGGTGCGAGCAGGCTGGCTCATGCCCTCTCATAACTACTGAGCACTGAGACAAGCAGGCAGAAGCAGATAACTGGCCTCAAGCACTGACAGGCCATTAAACCCAGGTATGGGAACTCTGGGACAGCTGGGACATACAGAGTAGAAGATATGAAGAAGTCCATGACTATGTTTACATGGACTGCAATATTCTGACTACTGACCTTATTCTAACTATAGATTATGTTGATTATGATATATATACATGTGTGATTTCATATGAAAACCCATTGACTTTATGTTTTTTCCTGTTTCTCTCTCTCTTCTGTTTCCTATCTTCCTATCCAATGCCTCCCCCTTACCTCTCCTCTTCCCCATAGACGCAAACAAGTGTTAACATAGACAACCCCCCCCCCCACTCTCCTTATGTCTTTTGTCTTGTGTTTCTCGTGTGAGAGACGCGATGACAGGACTGAAATAACAAATACATAGACCAGTTAAAATGGTCACAACTAGTCAAGCTGTTGGCCATGGAGGAAAATCTGTTGCCAAATTAACACACTGTCAGCTTCACGGTATTTCATTGCATTGGATCCAGCTTAGTATGAGCGGAGTCATTGACCCAGGATATTCTATGGCAGTTATGGAGTGTCGTGTTTGCTGTTGTAATGTGTGGCCACTCGAACATCAACACTGGCAACATGTATCTCAGAGCCTGTTTCAGCAAGTATCAGTGCCAAGCGCTCGCTGCAGCAAACAGTAAACAGTCTGTGCATATAAAATGTAGGAGAAGCTTCTCAATCTTGATACAACAACAAGAGACGCAAAAACCTATTGCAACAGTCCAGGACGTTCCTGGAACATGTGTTAACTTTCAAAGAAGCTGAAGGAAGTTTAACAACCGTGAAACACACCATGTCTTTTGCAACAGAGCACTCTCCCACTAAAGACCAACCAGTAAGTAAAAGCTGTCAGGCAATGCTTCAGATTACAGCCCGCAACTCACAGCACAGTTAAACCAAATGTGTCTTTATCGATAATAGAGTACCATTATCCTACAGTACAAATACACTGAAAACCTAAACTGTAAATATCTTTTCTTTCTTTCTTTAGTACTTTTTAAACTCCTGGGTTTCAACCTTGTGAAAAGATTGTCTCCTTCCCTTTTCTCAAGGCCCTGGTCCCCACATGATCACTACTCTGTTATATTTCATTTACATATTTCTGTTGATTTCTCAGGGTTTTTAAGTTCTTTCTGATCAGATTTTTCTTTGTGTTGGAATCAGTGGCAGAGCCCAGCACTCTATGTGTCTGACTTCTTGGAAGTGGATCAGCTGCTCCAACATGGTGAGTGAGTGGAGACATGTTGGAATGATCGGGTTCTCTTGGCTGTGAGTGTCATGATTCTGCTCCAGTTTAAGGTCTTTGGGAACTTTTGAAGGACTTTTGGTTTAATTGTTTGGATCTGGATCAACTTTTGACTTCTATTCTGTTCTCTTCCATTTGGTTTTTGGATTCTGTAGCTGGCTAGGTTCTGTTATCATCCTTGTGTATCTCTGACTCTTTGGTTAGCCCTAATTTCCTGTCTTATTGATGAGCTGCGTCTCAATTCAGGGCCAGATAAACCGTGAAAACCACAAGAAAGTTTTAATGCTCTTTTGATTTTTAATATTTGTACCATTAGTTGTTTGTTTGAGTTGAAGCGGGACAGTCAAGCATTCTCACCCCTTGTTTCTTTGAAAAACAGTTCATCATTAAAGCAAATTTATCCTGGGATAGGTTTGGGTGGGAAGGATCCAGCAGTTGGAGCCTTTGTTTCTCTGGGATGGAAGGTAGCATTTATCTGCTGCATTTGAAGGAGACTTTGAAATAGGGCAGCCTCTTTGTGCCACTGTGACTCAAGTCTTCAAATGCAGCCACTGAGGGATGCAGCACTTGAATTGAGACACAGCTCTGGTGTGCATCTGCGTTTGGGCCCTCCCCTGTCTCAAGTGTGACAGAGAGAGACAAGGGGCATTCAATCTGAATGCCCTTCTCTTCTGCAGTTATTGCTGTTTATTTCTGTCCTGTTTTGTACAAATTAGTTTATTTTATTTTATTTTCTCACGGACAAATGTGAAGCCTCCTTGGGTCTCTTGAAAGGCGCTATATAAATTCAAGCTATTATTACTGAATTCGAAAATCAGGGGTATAACAGAGCAGAGCAGCAGCAAGAAGCAGAAAAATTATGTAAAAGAGAAGAGTTTTATAATTCAGCAGTTTCAAATATTGTATATGTGGATACCTGGGTGAGAATTAAAGAGATAAAGCAATGCACATTAGCACTCTGCACATAACACAATGGTGACAGCTAATGGTCGGAGGCATTATGTTTTTGGGTTGTCCATACGTCCGTCCCATTCTTGTGAACGTGATATATCAAGAACTCCTTGAGGGGTTTTCTTCAAATTAAATAAAAACATTCACTTAGACTCAAGGATGAACTGAATATACAATGTATCAGGAACACCTAGAAGGAATTCTTTCACATTTGGCACAAACTTTCACTTAGAATCACTCAGTGGCCTCACAAAACTTTTCATCAACTTTTGATCAGTTGTTACTTGACTACAAAGACTGGGAAAAAATGAGGGTAGTTGGAAAATGCACTGGTTGGTGGAGGCACAAAACCACAGCGCAGAATTTCTAGTTCGTCTATCAATTTAAAACAGTTCCTAAAACTTTATGGATGTAAATAATTATTCTGACAGCTTCCAACCCAGTGGGACAACCTCCAGTGTGTTTCTGGTTGTAGCGTGAAATGACATGATAGCATTGGCTCGTTGACCAGCAGTAGTTCTGCACTCACCACCCCCACCACCCCAGACGCTTCCTAGATGTCCGGGATTCAGATTGCAAACACAAGTGATGCAATTCAACATGTGGAAAGTAGCACAAGACCATGACTGACAATTTTATCTTTAGAGTAAACAAGTTTTGAAATCAAACATGTCTTCCTCTTTTTTCCAACCCCCCCCTACATACTTACCACACATAGACACACACGTGCTGCTCAGGAGGAACATGAACATGAGCATGCATTGCCCAAATTGATCATCTGCCCTACTGCAGATGTTGTTTTCCATCTAGTTTGTTGTTGACTATTTCATGTCCCCAGTTTTTCTGTATTTTTCTTTTTCCCTACAGACGTTCAGTATGTTTTGATCGGTGCTGGGATCGGCCTGTTCTTAGTTGCTGGATTCATTATCATCAAGGTCTGCATCATCAGGAAACACGTGCAGGACAACAGCAAAGGCCAGTCATTATACAATATTTCAAAATTCTTCCTCTTAGATTGTTTTTGTTAGATTCTTGTAAATATCTCTTGTGTCTGAATCCCAGAAAAATTACATAGTTGGAAAAAATATGAGACAGTCCTTTTCTTTATGTTGATTTCCTCATTTGTTCTTCATACAGATGCTAGTATGAGAAGACCCAAAGAGGTAAGATGATAACCTTCCAAATGTTTTGATAGTTATTCTGACATGATAACTACAATACATTCAAAGCAAAAAAAAGAAAAAAGATGAATCTCTCTTGTGATCTTTTGCCCATTTTGTCCTCGGCAATTGTGGAAAACGTGGAGATGAATCCTCAATATTATCTAATGACAACAACGAAAATCAAATATCTAATTTTCTTTTATCTGAACACAAATATTCCCTTGACTTTTATTTACTCTCAACCGCAGCCTTGTGCTGTCGCTTCGAGTCGTCTCTGCCAATCAGAGAATCCGGTGCCGACGAAGTCCACAGTCACATAATGTTAAAGGTCAAGGCAGAGAGATCTGCAGGACGATGTGAACCCTGCTGAAGTGGCTTCTGTACTCTGCTTGCACTTTCCTCAAAGACATGTATCATTATGGTTTTCATAATAAATGGCTAAAGAGAATTTGTCACAATGGATCGTCATACACTCAACAAACGAGCTCTAGTCTGTGAAGAGCCTGGATGTGTCGATCTCTATCTTTCATCTTTTATTTTTCTGCTCCACTGACACAGCACAGAGATGATTTACCAGGACGCTACAGGACCAACTATCATTCTGTACAGTGGCCACAAGGGGGAAACATTACCTCAAAGAAAGATAAAGCTTTCGATTGGCTTAGATTCTTTGTGCTTTGTTTACGTGTATTTACGTCAGAACTTGAATGAGGGTTCATTACATATGAATAACGACAGTGTCAGTGTTCCTGGTATCGGATACTGAACATCAAACATTCTGTCTGCTGTTTCTGCACCTGATGCTCAATGTTGAACTTGCACCACAGCACTTATTATGACATGGAAAGAAAATTACAGTACAGTAAGATATTTTATTTATCACAGATTTAAAAATCTGGCAGGAAAAAGTTCTTGAAAATGTTCAGAGCTACATTTGCATTTTCACGTAGAGCCCCTCCAGACTTCAGTGCACGCTTGAACGCAACTTAAATAAACGCTTTGATTTTTCTGTGTTTGCTGGATGTGTAAATTTGTTGCCATAGAAACTGCAGCGATTTGTACAATGAGTTTTCATCTTTGTATTTCTCTTCAACTAAATGGCCAGAATTGTGATGCAGCTTTAAGACACATGATGCTTATTGAATCAAAGTTTTATCGTCTATTTGACCGATAATAAGAAGGAAAAATCAATAAGCAAGCACGTCTGCACTGTCTAGAGAAGTCATTTGCTAAATCCCACAGCGTTTTGCACTGAAAGCTGGAGGTTACACAGCTTTGGGAAAGTGGAGACTTCTTTCTGAAGGGATCAGTTTCATTTGTCGGACTGTCGCCAGTCTGGGGGCACTTACGAGGCCCTGTGAGCCGTCTCCACTATTATCTGCAAATCAAAAGTGTCCCAGATCTCCACAGCGCTGCTTTCTGAGGTTTGATAAAAGCCAGAAGAAGTGTCCCAAAAACCCAGAGCTGTCAGACTGTAGCACAGAGATTCACTGTGGGATCCAGTTTCATGAGAGAAAAGATGATGAGGGATAGATGTACTGTAGATACATACACACACACACACACAACATTAGTCTTGAGTTGCAAGGGCCAGTTTTGAAAACAACGAGCAACCACATTGGTATAGCACTTTCGCAAACTCTGTTATCCTGAAAATGATTTGTGATTTTGATTGATTTTATTATTGTGTCCTGTTAATTCATACAGTTCTAATGACCTGCCATCAGAGAGGTTTCTAAATCTACTAGCAGAAGGATTCTTGTTCTCCGATGTTCTAGCTTTGCTATAACATGAGATTCTGGATTTGAATATAGGTTCATAATGCTGCTTTTAACACCATTTCTCGTCAAACATAGCAAGTAACCTTCCTCCAAATGTGTCCAAGCTGCAGAATAAATTATGTCCATATACATCTATTTGCAATTTAGCAAAAAACAGCTTGAAGCTCTGTAGCCTATCGAGAGTTGTACTCCAGAGACAAACTTTCTTATTGAGCCTGTTTTCAGACACAGGAAGCAAACTATTCCATTTCCATCACTTTCATTGACAACAGATATACTAACACACACTGCCAACCCCAACCCCCCACTGTGTCAGCATGTGTGTGTTCCCCAGATGAGGTCTGCGCCCACTCACCTCCACAGCTGGAAGTGTGATTAGCTCGGCGTCTATCTCAATGACACACTCCTCCCCTCCGTCCTGCACAGGAAATTACATTTCACACTCACTCGCCAGAAGTAGAGGTGTGTGTGTGTGTGCGTGTGTGTGTGTGGTCCAGGTATTACTCATGTTGTGGGGACCTGAATCTGTGAACATAGTCTCATTAGTTTAGGTTAGGTTCACCTTCATGTTTACGTTTAGTTTAGGTTAAGGTTAGGTTTAGGCTAACGTTAGGCTAGGTTTGGGTTTGATAGATTAAGTTTAGGTTAAGGTTAGGGTAAGCGATAGACAAGTAATAACTATGGTTAATGTTAGAGTAGGTCTCAAGGAAATCAGTGTTAGTAAAATGTAATGTCCTCTGCAGTCATGGAGAGACAACTGTGTGTGTGTGTTGTGTGTGCACGCCCTCCCCCATGCCCACTTTTTTTTTTTGTTTCTGTCTGCTCTGCGTGCATGAGCATATGTTTGCGTGTGTGCACGTGAGTCTGCCAAATAAGTTTTCACTGACAGGAGGGGGGAGGGACGGGGAGTGTCAAAAGTTTCATATTACACTCCTCAGCTCGGAGTGGGGAAAAAAGAGAAGAGGAGGAGGAGGAGGAGGAGGAGGAGACCTGAGGCTGCTTTTCTTCAGTGGCATTTAAGTAGGAGTTTATAGAGGCAGCAGCCGTGGAAAATGAAGATCTACTCTGTGGTGTTTGCTCTCCTGACTCAAGCACTTTTTGGAGGTAGGAGAAAAAGTTTATTTTTGCATCATACCTGAGTGGAAGTGGTGTAGACAAATTGTTGTCAGAAAAACTTTGCTGAAAGGATTTGAGAATCAGGGAGGATGTTGGGGTCATGGGGAGATGGAGAAAAACATTTTTGCTTGATAGGATGCTCTTTTAACTTGTGTAAAACTTCTGTGTTCTACTAGAATGTATCTGCTTTACATTTTGGAGATTGCAGGGCGGGATGGCAAGAAAATGGCACGTTTTCCAGAGTTGCATATGTGTGCAGAGATGACAGGGAATTCCAAAGTGAAAATTGGTGGTTTTCCTCTGAGTGTTTAAAAAGGAAAACTGTTTTGAATGTCACGTCTGTATTCATTTACAGTGACTGAAATGATGTGCTGTCAAAACAGAACTTTAGAACCCACATTTCACCGGCAGAATAAAACTTTATTTCACCCAAATGAAAGACAAAAGCTTAAAAAAAGAGGCAGTGATCTTATGTGCCATGCTCAAAGCATCTTACTTGTGTGACAGTGAGATGTCTTTGTGTTTCCTGGAAAATGAGTATGAAATTGCTCAGTGCTTGAGAAACAGATGTTTGATATATTGTCACAACACTTTCAGCAATAAAGCTTGTTCCCTCAGTATTCGTCCCACGTATGTCGTCACAAGCCAAAAACAACAAGGCTGTCAGCGTGAGGGGAAAGAGGGCTGTTGAGAAACAACACTCCCTGCCAGCCCCGGACTCACAGAGGACGTATAGCTTCCACTCGAAGAACAAACCTTCAATACATTAGTTGCACTGGTTATTGTTCTTTCATGCTGTTTGGTTGAGGAAGAAAGTTCAGGTTGCTCAGTGAGGCATTAGTTGCCTGTTCTGGTAACACTCACCATCTTTAAACCATTAGGCTGCATTTAACTTCACTGTGATCTTCAGGGGCCAATTGGAAGTAGGCTGAGAAGTGTTATTAACTGTGTCAATACAAACCATTTTAGGAAAACATTTGCATGGAACTTTTCCTTAAATGTGAGTTTTTCTCCTCACATTTCACACAGAAAGAAATACACAAAGAAAACGGATCTGAACTTTATGTGCTGAACTTTAAACTGAAGCCCATAACAAGGCAACTGTTCCTCTTTTTCCATGTGAATTTTTATATTAGACAACAATTAACAGTTTATATGTTGTATTTAAAGGTCCAATGTGTAGGCTGTAATGACATCTATTGGCTAAGTTGCATCCTGTAACCAACTCTCCTCATCTTTACCTTCCAAGCATGTAGGAGAACTTATGGTGGGTTAGGGTTAGGGTTATGGTGGTGTAAATACGTGAGAGACCCTCTCGAGAGACAGTATTTTGTTTGCCCATTCTTGGCTACAACAGAAACAACATGGCAGACTCCATGAAAGGATCTAGATATAGAGGGCTCATTCTATGGTAACAATTATTACTTCCATTTTGTTTCACACTTATGAAAACGTTATGATGTTTTTGCCGTTAGATGTCACTTAACTTGGAAAAAGTAGTTTGCAAGACTGAGAATGAAATAAAATATTAATGCTGTTTTGCACAGTCAAAAGTTCTGAAGCGATTGAATAAACTGAGTAGTGATTATTTAATTTGGTACACAACTGCTTGGGGTTAGGTTTAACCAAGGGTTAGGGTAAGGGGTTAACATAACCCTAAAGTCCAAAAGTAAAGGGTACTCCACTCATCTAAAGACAATACTGTTGTTGAAGTGCCTGAAACACCTTGTCGATAGTCCAGCCGATACTGCCACACCATTGTGATGTCGCGTGACATGCAAGCAATGGACAGTTTGAGGAAAGTAATGCTTTTTTGAACATTAGAATTTGTAAAACTTTTCAACTTTCAAACATCGACACGTGAATTGTATTCCGGTTAAAACTTCCCTGTATCCCTTCTTTCTTCTGATTTAGAGTTAGTCAGAAAAAACTTCATAGCCACAACCTGGCAATGAGTGGGAGTGGACTATAGACACAGCCCATTCACTCTGCATATTCCAATCAGATTTCAGACTTTCTATAATGATTTCTAAATCTTGCTCTTGCAGATCTGTGTTTGGCCATCAACGTCACCATCATCCCATCCCCCTTCATAGTGACCCAGGAGGGTCAAAACATCACTCTCTCCTGTGTTGTGTCCCAGCGGCGTAGAAATGCTGCTTTACCTGTAGTGAAATGGACCTTCCTACCAGCGGGCACAGAGCGGTCGGAAGACGAACTCCTAATTGCTCGCGTCAACATGAGGAAAGCCCGATTCTACGGCAACTACACCAAAAGCTTCCCATGGCCCAAACTGAAGCTGACGGTGGTGAAGCAGGGGAAGATCTTTGACCTGCTGATCTTGAACGTTTCTGAGGGGGACCAGGGGCTCTACATGTGCCGGGTGCAGGAGTTTAAAAAGCACCAGGACCGCTGGAAGGCCTCATCCAACTGCACGGCTGCTACAGAGCTAAGAGGTGAGGGCTAAATGTATTATTCTGTTTAGTCCTGTCCTTTTTCTTAAAAAATAGCCAGATTGTATTGTTGAGCACACAAGGCAATCAGATGAAGACCACCTTAATGTTGTCAGATCCAAGATTCTGGCCACACAGAAGCTCGGCAGTGTCTCACATGTACACTGCACCCAATGTCTCTGGAGTATCAAACACTTGTCTGGTAACTATAAGCTATTTTAAGGCAGATGGTAGAGTCAGCTTTAATTCCATGGATTACTCACCCATGGATGGTGATGAGCTTTGATATCAGACAAAAATACCAAAACCTCTAAAGAACCTCCTCAAAGCATTGACCACTGACCATACACAAGCTATGTCCAGTATGTTCCAAACACTATTTGGCCAAATGACTAAGCCAGAATAAGGTGGTTCAGACCAATGGAATATCAGGACATGGAGTGCTCCAGTGATCTGAAACCAACCACTCCTACTCATCTGCTCAGTGGTGTATCTACTGCAGTCACAGGTTTACAAAAGATATGACTCAACTCTGAGTCAGTCAAGCAAAAACGTCAGTTCATAACTTCATATAATGCACAACTTTACCTAAAGAAACACAAAAACCGCACAGTATACTGTACATCTCAATACAGTAGCTAGTTATTGTTTGTGTCAATTAGCAGCTGGTTCAGAGAAAGCCAGAAATTATAAATCGGTCTGTGTACAGATTTACTGATATCGAAGAACTAGACACAAGATGCTATTTAAATTACAGAACCTCTGGCTGCCTGTTATCAGGTAACATGATTTATTATTTGCTAATCATCAGTAGGATCTTGTTTCTTTATTAATAATTGTACCTAGGGTTACCTGACAAAAGAGGATGCAATAAACTTGCTAAAAAATAATGTTTACAATGATGTAATTCTATCTCTCAGTCGTGTTTTTTTCTCATCTGGACTGTTGAATCTGAGTCCTTTGTATTTTTAGACACGCTGCCATAACTATTTATTTTACTCGTTATTAATTCCTGTCTGTACTTTGAAAAGAATCCAATAGCAAAGAAATATCTTTGTTTTGAAAAACTGGGGTTAAGAATTCTCACAACCCCTGCATTAGGGTGCTACCATTTTTTATAGAAGACAACAGTAGCTGTAGCTTAGTTTCTAACATAAGTACATCACTGCTGTTAACAGTGCAGGGCGGAGAGTCAACAAACTATTTCTGCCACCACAACAGAAGCAACAAGAAATTCTGTTTTAATAATTGTGAGACCGCAGATAGTTTGCAGCAGATGAGAGGTTGGCTGACAGAGATGTTCCATGGCTCGCAGCGGAAAGTGGGACTGTTTCTGAGCAGCGAACAAAAAACAGTTTGAGGTTTTAGTTGGATGTTTTAAAAGTAGCATAGATGCCCCTGTTAAATCTCTGTCAGCCAGGATCAATGATTTAGGATTATCCTTTGTGCCACAACTCATTTGTAAGAAATTCTATGAATTCCAAAGAAGTATATCACCGTTTAAATCAAAGTAATTGTAGTGCTAACAGTACATGTCAGAAAGAAGAAAAGGCAGAGCAGTGCTGCATCTCCTGAAGTAGCAGTTTCTCTGACCACAGATAAATGATGTCATTCATCTGTCCGAGGAGTTTTTGAAGTGGTTTACTGAGCAAAAGCATCCTCCTGCTTTTGATTTCAGAGGAGAACTGTCATTGGTTAGGAACAAGCCTGGAGATAAATCGATCCTCCATCGCAGTAAGTTGCGGCTTTAACTGAGAAGATGATCTTGGAGTAGGCGCAGAGAGAGTGTGAGCTTCACTCTGTGAAATGGATGAGACATCCACTGGTACCACACACAGCACAGAAATCCCTCAACTTTCATGAAATCGCACTCAAACTTTTTGGATGTGAGGAGCAGAATTTGAGGCCATAACCTTATGTAGTATTCTTATGTAGATGTGCTGCGTCAACACTTGACAGGATATTTGCGTTTTTGTGCCCAAAATGGAAGAGCTGTGGCCACTTGTGATTGGATCTCACTTCACCACATTGTGTGCAAATAAACACGACTGTCATTTGTTTTAGTGAGAACCAAATTATGTTGTTTTTATTCGGTCTGAGTTTACACGTGTGTCAGATGACACTGTGTGTGTGTGTGTGTGTGTGTGTGTGTGTGTGTGTGTGTGTGCGTGCGTGCGTGCATGCATGCGTGTGTGTGTGTCTGCGTGTCAGTGCTAGAGTGAGAGAGAGTATGAGTGAGCGGAGTCAGGAGGGGCTGAATAAAAGAATGAATGTGCGCTGCTATGAAGAAAGATTTTACTAATTTAAGAAGAGTATCTATCATTAAGTGGTGATCAGTGTTTATAATGTGGCGGTGGTTACACACAAATCAAGGTTTAAACTGCGGTGGGGCGGTGAAGTCGGCTGAGTCAGTGTGTGTTTGCGTGACATCACAAGAGAGTGAGAGAGAAAAGTGAGTCAAGATAGACTGACTGAATAAATGAATATATGTAATTAAATATATGAGTGCCAGTTCATAGGTACATTATTCAGTTGAATGAAAAACAAGAAGAGAGATAATTTATTAGGAAAATCAACAAATCGAGTGCCCAAAAACAATAGTGGACTCAACCTTTTGCCAATAAACAATATGCTTCACCAGCAGAAGTTAGGCTACACTCTGACGGCATCCAGGACCAGTTTCATCTTTATCCCCAATAAATTATTTATGGAGGATTTGGAAATAAGACTTGGTTACCATTGGGTTAGTAAGATCATGAAACAGACATCTTGACATTTGCAGTTTATAGCCCAGATTAATGCACTGTGTAATCCATTTCTCACACTAGACTGAAATGGATGAAACAGGTGTGTGTTCAGACTAGAAAAGTAATACGCTTTAAAATGCCAAGTCGGTCTATAGTTCAGAGATGATGTGACAGCACTGTTTAGACGAGGCGTTTGGTGAGTGATTCTATCTCGAGTGCAAATCCAACACAAGACATTTCATCTTTAAATTTATTACCATGTTACTGTTAGTGTTCCTCCTGTCTTTGAACAACTGTAGACATTGCTCACCACATTTTCCATGGAAGCGTTCCTAAAGGCTGTGACTTTGGTGTGTCCACAGCCAAGTCTGGGCTCAGGCAGACACACAGTCCCAACCAACAGCTGTTGACATTGGCCCTGGCGAGGAGTTTCCCTCCCAGGCAGAATGTCCCGAGAAACTCAGAAGAGCTGCGACAAGAGATAATTGTGCTGAGGAAGGTGAAGTTCTTATGTTTGTCTGCAGTGACAGGCGAGTGGGCAGCTGGCTCGTTTCTGGCTCTTACCCTGTGGTCTAGGATGTGGTGAGCTACTGTATTTCCAGAGGTGGTGGCCTATTATAGTTTCAACGATGATCACAGAGTCCACTGCAACATTTTTGGAGGAATACTGCAATTGTTACATGAATGGCAGTAGATGTAGAAAATATAACTAGACAATTCATTTTTAATTAAAGTCAAGGTGACAAGAAGCTAAACCCAAGATTATCTTCTCCACCTGCACCTCTGTGTTTACAAGTGCTGAAGTACTGAATACTCTGGAATCTGGATGGGCAAAGTACATTTTCATACCCATTTATAGTTCTAATTAACCCCCTTAGACTAAATATAAGTTTGCTATAGCCCTGAAATATCGTACTTCCATACATTTGGAGGAGAAATGTCAATGCATGAGCGGCCAAGAAATTCTGACTTTTAGTTGCTATAATGAGTGAAACATCAAAAGGACTGCATCCTACATTTCCCACAATGCATCTCAATTTTTTTTTTTTTCCTCTATGGATACGTGAAGCCAACAGCCTGTATGTCCTATTGTAAACTTGTTGTCCCACGTCTGAGCTAAATTGCATTCATGTTAATTTCACATGCTGACTTGAACTCTTTAATGAGTAAATGATTCTGGGACATTTGAGTTATGGGTCAGGAATCTGTAATATTAGACTCTCCAGGATGTAGGTTGAGTGATTGTAAAGATTGTAAAACTTGAACAGCAAAAGGAAAGCTGTTCTATTTCTGATCATGAGTAGCAGGTAGTGGTGTTTTTTTCCTAATCCCCACACCAACAGTTGACAGCCATGATAAGCATCAGTTAACCATATGACGAGTTAAAACCGATTTAGGACCATTGCCACTGATTTCCACTTCAGATGGAACACAGCAAATGAAAACGATTTCATGGGCACACAATGCGTGCGTGAAGTTAAACTGATGGAATTCCTGTGGTCGGATAACATTAGGTGACCAGGTTTTTCCACAATAGGTCAGAGGGTTTGTTAAAAAGACTGAAGGCAGAGCACAACCTCCTCTTGGCATAAACAAACCGAAATGTTTAGGTATTTCTATAACACATGTGGGTGAGTAAAAGAGTGTTTCTAAAAGGTGCGCAGGATGTGGTGTGGGTTTAAGAATAGTAAAAACACAAGGTACTCTACTGCTAAAGGAAACATGGAAATAAGAAATATCACAATTCTGAGGCCACAAGCATTTCTCAAAAGCTTCTTCTGTAAGAAAATAAAAACATGAAACCAACAAAACCAGCCCATTTACACAGAGATGCTAATTCTTAGAGAAAAAGATGCAGGAACACAACAGGAAGTTAAAGGGTGGATTATTTTAAACTGAAGCGGGACACAGAAGACTGTACGTACATTCATCTCCAGCCTTTTATAATACAGCACATTAGAGCATTGACTGAGTCAGTGGATAATCACAGAGGATCACTATTCACTCCGGTCCATGTCTGTGTATTGATGTTTACAGTGTTGGGTTTGTTGGAGCACAAAACGAGCCACGAATCTTACACACAGTCAGCAACTGAGTGCAACTCTGTGGGTCTGACAAACAAAAAGTCCTTGTTGAATGTTTCCACTTAGTCTGATGAAGTCTTCAGCCATTCAGAAGTGGCTTTAAAAAGAAGACGTTTTGTAGATGGGGATAAAAAGCAGATTTATGTGACAGTGTTCAATTTCTGATTATTCCAACATGTACAGCTGCCTCACTGACAGAGCTACACAGAACCTGAGGCAAAGACACCACATAAACGTTATCAAGATTTACACTGTGAGTAATTTACTGTGGAGGCAGGGCTTTGAATTAAATCATCTGCATTTGAAACAACTGAGAAAGTCTGTTTTAAATTGTGTTTTGATTCAAGCATCATCATAACATTGTACTTGTATTTCCAAGTCATTGTTTTGCTATTTCTGATTGGTGTTTTTTTGAAATCTAAAAAATATATTTCACTAGCATGACATTAGACAGGTTAAGTGGCTCAGACAGATTTGCCATTATGATAAAATGTACAGTGTATGTTCAAAAACAAAGTGCTGCCTATGAAATAGTCTGAAACGATTCTTACCTGCAAGCCCACTCATATTAACAAAGTTAGCATTTGGTAAAAATTGTAATTAATCGCCAACTACTCTCCAACTTCCCTTTAAAGATGACTAACTGCAAACAGCAGAATGTAGGTCACATATGGTCAGTGTAGGGTTAGTGGTTTCACAGATTAGGACCAAGTCCAAAGGCTGGTTCCCAAAAGTCCCAGTTTGAAGGCTGTTGCTTCTCATAAACATAGTTTAAGCTTAAGTATTAAAATAGATCCAGGAAAATATTGAAATATGTCAATCAACCTGTTTTCACTGTTGAATAGGCTTTGGGCGTGGCCATGTTTTCTACAGTCGTCCAACCTGGACCATCCTGGATTTTTATGACAACTGAAGCTACCACAGGTTCTCTTTCATGTTTGGAAGAGGAGGCGGAGGTGAGGGGTGTTCAGCTGCAACATGCAACTTCACTTCTAGATATCAGTAAACTCTAAACACTGAACCTTTAATGGAATAAGCTTTACATTTATTGTATTTTTCTCCACAGAAAAAATAGCTTTTCTCCCTTTCCTTAACCTACAGTTGTTGTAAAGGTCTCTTTTTTATGTGTGTCAATGTTTGTTTGGATTATTTGAGGCATGCTTGCGTGTTTGTCAGTCAACATGCTGTGCAGCCAGTCTGCCTGTGGGAAAGTCTCCAGCCGACGTGGTGGCGAGCCTGTTTGTCGTCAGCTCCTAGAGGTTTGGGGTGTTTCAAGACGCCCCTGATGGGTGTCGCCTCACGGGTTTCCTACCACACCAGCTTAGCAATATATGTCGACTGTGGTCACATGAGCTGGACAAATGATTGAGTGAGGTGACACGTTGAGTATGGGAAACATACTCTCTGTCATTTTGGACAGAGGCAGCACATAGCTGGGATTCTCATTCCTGATTTAGGCTTTTGATCCAACGCTGGTGCTCATATTAGATTAATTTTTGGAGGCTTATTAATCATCTACTGTGTACAGGGATGTAAAGTCACATGCACTATATCGGAATCCTGGAAAACTGTTTAAGTTGCATTCAGTAATGCAGTAATAAACTCCTCATTTCGCATAACTTTATGTATTTTAAGTTTTGCCTACATCTACGGTTCACGAATCACTCCCCACATAGGAAATGTCCGGTCTAGCTGTGGCAACCAAAACAAGTTGGGGCAGGTGCACCATGCAGTCATGTAACAGTTTGGTTCAATTGCCCCCCAGTTCCCTTTTGCCAAGGGCCCCCAAAGCCTGGAAGCAAAAACAATCCCTACTTTCAAAGTTAGTTTGTTTTCTAGCTGTGCTACAAAATAAAATACAGGGATGGTGATGACAAAAGCAGACATGACGCATTGTTGTGGTCCACTAAAGGTGCTTAAAACATGCAGTTACAGCAAATTTCACAGTTTAAGTCCCAGCTGGGGCTCATGGAACATATCATACTACTTCCTGCCTCCTCCCCCTTCACACTGTGACCATGAAATAAAAGTAAATAAGAATGTGAAAAATGACTAATGTAAAAGAACCAATTTTTCTTAAAAAATAGTGGATCTCATTGTAAACTGCATGAGTGCAGCCTTAGTTCTCTGAATTGCTGTTGAGCTAAGCAGCTGTGATTTAGCCAGGCCGGTATGTCAAGGCAAACAGGGAAACTCAAATGACTGTAAATACACTGGACAAGTATCTAAATGTTCTTGGAAACATTTTAATGATCATGTTGTTGATGTCACAGAAAGAAAAACTAGGTAAAACATTCTCAGCCAGTCTGTGAACCAAAATAGGCAAAAGCTTGTTTTATCACATCTTCGTTATGAAGGTGAAAGAGATGGTTGGGCCCAGCACATGAGTAGACGTGAGGTGAGAGTTTAAGGTGATGCAAATACATCCAAACCCAGTTTGCACTATTGTCTGAGTTAATGAACTATTTATCCTTTTTCATCCGGTGAAGTTTAAGGTTGAGCTCTCTGGACAGTGAGTCAGAGACGATCAGGCTGGGAGGAGGCCCACCTCGGCTCGTTGTCTTCCTGCAGTTAGGTTTATTTAAACTCTGCCCAGTGTGTAATCAGGAGGCAGTGAAGCCACAGTGACGACTACGACCTTCACATGTTTCTCTTCTGTCTTTCTTTCTCCATGTAGTGCATGTTCTACCGATCACCAAGGCCAAAGAAAGCCTGTGGAGCTTGTTTGAAGGTAAGTCGTAATATTTTTAGTGTGTCTATGTGTGTGTGGTGGACTAGCTGGCACTGAATCGTCCTTGGCAAGCAAAAATAATCCAGACCAAAGGATGAACTGCAGTGCTTTAAATAGCTCAGCAAAACACTTACTTCTTTTTTTTTTTTTCCCTCAAGATTTTTGTGTGCGCAGTGAAGCCATGGCATGTGGCCGCTGTGCCGGTGGACTAATGTGTGTCGTGTGTATGTTTTAGATGTGTACCTGTGTGCGGTGCTGATCTGCTCAGTGGGCCTGCTGTGCATGTGCATGTTCACAGTGACGGTGACCTGCCAGTTCATACAGAGGAAGCAGAGGTTAAAAGGTGAGCAGCAGCATCAAGATCGCTGTGTTTAGAAAAAGAATTAACATCTGTCCTCAAAGATCCAAACACCAGTGAAGAGCTCTGTGTGTCTGTTCACACCTGGGATTAACCCATTTAGACTGGATGCAACACGTGTATATACCCTCAAGACTGGGTGCAAAGTTTACGTGCTTCTTACTTTTCAGCAACTGCAACATAAACACATCTTGTATAATGTTTTTGTTTTTTAAGAAATATGAGTAATGAACTGTGATTTGCTGAAATACAGCAAGCAGAAGTAAAATGCATCGTGGGAAAAGGTTATTTTAAATGCTTTTTTTTCCAGTGGTTATGGTTAATCAGACAATGGTTGACGACCTGAGCGAGGGTAGCAACATTGAATCAGAGGTCAGCTGTGACTTGGACCAGTAAAAAGCCACCCAACCTTTATTTCTCTGCTTCTGGGGCCGATAGAATCATGGAATAAAAACATGTCAAAGATTAAACCTTTGACTTTTATTGTAAATTCTTGCATTAACACAAATGATCATCATCATAAATATACATGGTCTGAGCGAGACGCATTGAGGACACATTTTGGTACGTGTACTTAGCACGTGTACTTAGCACTGACTGTTTGTGTTCGTATCACTGTGGACCAATGTTAATACCAGGTCTGAAGGGGTCCTTGTCTCTGCACCAGTTTCTAAATGTGTTATATCTATGCAGATAACTATCATCTGGTCAAAAGCCAACAAAACAGGTACGATATTACAGCAACACAGCCTCACACTAAAGTCAAATTCTTTTTGTTCTTAAAAAAAAAAAGAAGACATGAATGCGCTGAACCTAATCTGTAATTACTGTAGCTCTGGAGAGACAGTGACCAGTGTCGTCAGCATGTCTCCAGCTCTGCCTGAAAAGTCGAGGAGGTACAGGAAGAAAAGGAGAAGAGACCATCAGGAGGATTTACCACCTGAGATACCAGCCAAAGGTAAAGTTACAGTGTCTGGTGTTGGAAATGTTGACTCCAACAAAATCAGGCTGTCCTGTGGATTTTATTTATGTGTTTACATGTTTTTTTACTCAAAGAGCACCAGCAGATGTAGCAAAATATTATCACCAGTCCAAACTGAGTTTTACACCCGCAGAATTCTTCTGTGTGGCTTTCCAAACATGAAAACATCCTGGCATTCAACTACCACATAACTCTTGAGTTACGGGGTTGTTTCCTGAAGTCGACAGGGAAAACTTTCTCACCCTTAGCGAACCACAGCTCAGTCACGCCAAGTCTACTTCTTAATTAGCATGTGTCGTGCATCTTTTTAATGGAAGCAATGATTCTACAGTGAGTTAATTACCATCAGCGTGTTGTGGTCGACGTCCCAAATCATTAAATATCTTCCCAAATCACTGCTGGTTCAAATTTAAGTGGGAACTGTGCTGACAAGGAAATCCTGCTGCTTTGTGGTTTTGAAGCAATTATGGACTCATGCTTTGTACAAGTAATCTTTATATTTGTATTGTTTTACTTGTATAAAAATTAACGAAGCAATTTCTTCATTGCTATTTTCACTGAATGTGCTAAATCTTGTGGGGGGAAATGTGAATTTGCCGATGCAGCATATATCCCAGAATATATGCTTGAACAAGTGTTTCCTGCTGTTTTCAGCTTTCATGCTCGGCAAAGATGACAAGCTTATATTACATGAAAGATGCTTTAAAAGCTCAGAGTAACTACAGGGTCGGTTGATCATTTTTTGTCTGTCAATCTCTAGAGGCGACCCTTCTCATATCACACATTGTTTTCAGTCATGGTTGATGTGAAAACCAAGACTAGTGCCGCTTTAAGCTAAAGATCTGAATTGTTTATGTGTAGTCACAGAAGAGGGTGACAGTAAGGCTTTGACATATGTCCTATTTTCATCTCACCACTATGTGAAGGGGCACGTCTGTAACATGTGTGTTTGTGATAGATTAGTCTTATCCTGCATGTGCATCATATTTACTAAACATATCTCTTACAAACCACTAACTCTTGTTTTGTCTGTGCAGTTCCCATTGGAGACAAAAGGAGACCCAAACTTCTAAAACCACAGCCACGGAAAGTAGTGTTGGTAAGCACCATCCATGTTTTTTTTTAGAAGATATTAGTCGTTTATTGTCGTCTGGGGCAGCATTTTAGTCTGGACAGGCAGACATAGACACTCAAAACCACTTTCTGATTGGGTCTTTTCAGTCACAACGTAGTCTTCAGTGACTTGTAAGGGTCCAATCACATGACCCCCTTCCGGAAGAAAACAACCAGCTGAGTCCTCGGCTACCAGTGTAGAACACAACATGGATAATCAGTTGCAAAAATGGCTGTTTTAAAATAACACAGCTGTTTACATGTGTAGGAGATGAGCTATATTTAAACGTGTGTTAGTATGGATGGGGATTAAAACTGATACAGAGCGAAAATGCTTGTGTGAAATGGTTTTAGTTTGAAAAATGCCAAACAAAAACTTAGTAGTGTGGATGTAACTTTATGCACTCTTATTATGTTATGTAACCAATTCATTTTCTAATTGTCACTGGACAGAAGTGACTGCCTCAAACCCAGAAATCCTGTTTGATTGCTCACATTTACCGAATCGAAGCCAGTTTATCAAATTTCTTGTCAGTATTCATGTCCAACACTGTAATGTCATTTGAGCAAACAGGGGAAACCTACAGCATATCCAACCCTGTAATTATCTTAATGGAGTTTTTACATAAAAACCTTCCCTGTTGTCGTCTCATCTCACCACTGATACCACTTTATTCTCTCGCCACTTCCATCTCCCATTCACCTCCACCATCATTTTTCTCTCCCCTCCCTCTCCATCTGTTTCCACATCTTTAGCCAAAGATAGTGGAGGAGAATCTGACCTACGCAGAGTTGGATCTGGTGAGGCCGATTCCAGAAACCAAGGCGTCACGTAGCGGCACAGTGTACGCTCAGATACAGTTTGGGGAGCTACAGCTATGAGACAAACAAACACACACACACACACACACACGTCTATTTATAGTCTATTTTGTACTGAAATAGTTTGTGAAGGTTCAAGAACTTCTCAAAAGTATGACAAAATTGTAAATATGATTTTATACGAACTCTGATATAGTTTTCTTTTATGAGACCACGATGCAAAAGAGAAGTATTTTGTATGCTGATATTTCTCACTTGCATGCATGTTTGAATCCTGTGAGAACACATTAGAAGACTACCATGCTGAATGAGTCCATCATCACAATTTGATTGGAGACTGGAGGCTAGTCAGAGCCTCAATCCCGATCATGTAAAACGCTTCAGTCAATAATTGCAACGTGATATCTGCAGTTTAAGATTCCTGTGGTGTTTTGAATGTCGAGTTTACTCTGGGGTCAGGTGATAAGGGTGTTGATACCACGCTAATGTCTGTGCATTTAGTCTGGCACTAGGACCAGAAGGTAATTAGCTTGAAAGGGAAGCAGGGGAACACAACCAGCCAGCCTGTAGCTAAAACTCAACAAGGCTAGTGTATTATAGATTTTTGACAAAAGGCCCCTGTCAACAAAAAAGTAAATGAATAAGTACCTGTGCAACCACAACCCATTTTTTTAAGGTTTTAGTTTGGTCTTTTATCTGTACGTGTACAGATAAAGCAGACAAGATACAAAGTGTTACTTACATAGTTACATTGGTCGTTGTTTTTTTAAACTAAAGGGATACCAGGCTGTTTTTCCCTGCTTCTCGCACTTTCCTAAGCTAAGCTAATTTAGCTTCATACTTGCATGAGAGAGGCATCGATCTTCTCAACCAAACTATTACCCAGACCGTCAAACTATTCCTTTAAAATAATAAATGATGTTATTTTAACTAAAATACACTAAGGCTCTATGATAGCAACAAACTGTCATTTTGTTTGACTCATTGACTGTATGTAAAGATGGATGACACGTCTACGCATCCTACCAATATTCAGAAATATTGAAATATCCCAGATCTGAATGCTGCCATCTCCGTATTTGGAGCTAGCATCTGCAAAATGGCGAAAACGTGGACCCGTGGATACAAGAAATCGACCAATGATGAGTCAGTCTTGTGGCGTTTTACCCATTTTTATGATTAATTAAATCCGACCTACTGGAAAAGTGAGAACCTGAGTATATGGCAGTGTGATGAAAACTTCCTACAATGAGAGAAACATTCTTTTTGACATGTTAGTTTGGTCCATGTCCCATCCAAGAACATGGAGGAGGCTGAATTCATGACCTATATTGCAGGGCGCCACAAGGTTCAGATCAAGATGTTTGGCTTCACTTTTGTGGAGCAGTCATGTCATTCATCTTTATATACAGTCCATGGTTGCACTTCATGTAGTGACATAGTTATATCCTGGTCACTTTGAGATCTTTTGTCTCATTTATTTTACAAAATAAATTAGAGACATCCATTGTTATGAATGTAGACCACTGCATTTTCAAATGTGATTTGCTTCTACTGTGTTTCCAGCATTATCTGTCGCACAACATCTGTGTTCATTCTGTTTTTGTGTGTCAGGCGGCAGTTTATAATGACCACAACTCCACAGAGTTGATATTAAAGTAGCGATTAGCCTTCGACCTCTGCCTCACAGGCAAGTATGTGAGACCCTTTCATCTGGTGCCAAAATCAACTTAACAGGCTGTTAGCGACAAACGTATGTTTACACACATGCAAGGGTGGAGTTGCATGTAGGAAAACTTGTAGACTTACACAAAAAGGCACATACTGTAAATCCAAAAAAACTGTTGTGACTGGTAACAGGGACAAACTGAGACCTGTGTTTGGACTATTTTGCATAAATGCAAGTCACATTTAAGGTGATTTTGTTGTTTGACTTTAGATAAGAGGCCAAATTGGCTGTAATCTCACATACCTTTGCTACAGTCTGGTTGCTTTCTCACTTTCCATGTTGAAGTGCATAGGAGTCTTTTTCCATTTAATGATCCTCTGGATTCATGCACGGAGGAAGCAAAGGAAAGTGAACTTGAAACCCAGACTCAAAGGCACCAGATTCCAGCCTCCCCAAAGACTTCCACTATCTTATATGAAGTTATTCGTGCAGATGGAGAAGAAGTTGCACTTTCTTTGTAATGCTTGAATAAGTCTCCAGACTCCAACTCTTTTGACCTGTTTTCAAACCAGCTATTAATCTGGTAACTGCTAGTATGCAGTCATTCCTCTATCAAACTTAAAAGAACACTTGATTGCCATATTAGCTGAAATGAAATTTTAGATAAAAATAATAAGTGTGAAGCACAAAAGTTGATGGAGCATCCTGACACAGATAGGTTAGGTTACAGTTTTCGTTTTTTGACATGGTGTCGATTGGGTTGGTACCAACGGAGAGTTCCATTAACGTTAAATAATTAAGGCCAAGCAAGCTCATTGGTTGGACAACTTGTCCATTGTCCAATTTGGTTGAACTGAAGCATCCCTACCAACCAATCAACTGTTAAACTGGGATAACAGCCCCAATGTGCTTGGACTTTTCTTTTTTCTCCTAACTTTATATTATGTTACTTTGCAAACCACTGCTGACCCCTGCATTTTTTGATTTTCCATTGTTCTCTTCTGTTCAGTTGCACAGTGTTTATTATCCCTGTATAAAATGACTGAAACTGACCTTTCAGTGGTGGGTAGAAGTGTCTTAAAAATGCCCTTAAACTGTGAAATGTAAAGTTTCTTCCAGACCACATTGTCCTTAATGGGAGTTCACTAACTAGAACCATGTGTATATGAATGGTGCCTCTCTGCTCTCCCTCTCTCTGTTCCCCTCTTTCTCTCTGCCCACCACTGACCTCTGAATTCATCTACATTCCAGTGTTTTGGCTCTTGTCCATTTTGTACATTTCAGATGTGTTTGTATCAGCAAATGAAATAAATATGAAAGTTGATGGAAGCATTATGCTACCAGAGAGTGTTTTTAGCCATGCTAGGGCCGCAGCCCTATGGATGATAACATTTCACTCCTATGTTCTGCATAGATGGCAGAAACCTTTGTTCTGACTTTGAATTAAATGCTAACCAAAGTGAGAATGGTCAACATTATGCTAACATCAGAGTGGTAGCACTGTCTCTGTGAGCATTTTCGCATGCTGACATTAGATTTTGCTCAAATCACAGGAACCATAGACTGTAAATAATGTCCTATCGATACAGATGCACTACCAATTGTAAGTCTTTCAGCTGTCAATCTTCACTTCTAAAATGACAGAAATAGAGAAAAGTTAATTTGATGTGTACTTTAAGGTTTTAGTTTGGTCTATGTCCCATAACATGGAGGAGGCGGCATGTATGTCCTATACTGCAGCCAGCCACCACATGGTGATCGAGACGAATTGGCTTCACTTTTGTCACTTTCGGTCATGGCAGCCATCTTTATATAGAGTCTATGGCCACAGCTCGGAATTATGAAGCCCCTCAAGTTGAATTTTTCAGACGGTCCAGTAACCTTACCACTCTGACATCCAAGATGATCTGTGTATCAACAGTAAGTGGACGCCTAGTTTTTCCTGTTTACTAGCACTTCTGTCATTAAATTTGTCGTACACAGAGTACTGTCAGTCTAACTGGCATCAGGCATATCTCCTCATCTGCAGCAAGTTTAAAAGCTGAACAACTTAGCTCTTCTCTTGACCAAAAAAGCTTTTATGTTAGGGCTGTTTTCAAAATTCTGGGATGTCTATGGAAGATGTATTGTCCCAGCTCAAACCAGTTCAACTACTGAAAATATTTTGACTGATGATTTGATTGATTGGATTAACAATTCAACAAATGTGTGATCCCTGAGCTGAAGTATTATATGCATTCATTATTAATCATCAGAGGAAAACACACTACACTGTGAATAAACTCATAACACTTGATTTTGACCTCTATGTTGACATAAAGATCAGATATGAGAGGGGTACATCCAGGACACTGGATGGGTGTCAGCTGCTCTTGTGGTGGTGAAGGCGCGGTAATAAGAGAGGGGGGACTTTAAAATTTTAGGTTTCGTTTACTGGCAACCTCCAAATTATTTTTTAAAAGGAAAACAAAGAGGAAGCTCGCTCTCTGCGTGAGACAAAATGAACCCCAGAGGTTTTATTGAACTGTCTCACCCACAAAGAAAACATGTATTTGATATAAAGACACGGGTCAGTCACTTGAATTAAAGGGAAGTTGTCCAATATCGATAAAAATGTAAGTAAAGTAAATGAAGATCAAATTGTTTAAGTGAGTGGGTTTGTTTAAAAGGAAAGCGAAGGAGGTGAAATGATGGTGAGAATAAAAACAAGAAATTCCATCTTTACAGTGGAAAGGAAGGTAGACGTGTGGGATGAGACAGTTCTATAGTCGTCTGTCTGTGAGCACAACAGCAGCTGTTCCTTTAAAAAAAGCAACAGGTGATGTCACCGGCAAAACAGCCGAAACGAAACCTGTTGTTAAAGCTAAAACCCTTGTGTGTGTCTGTGCTTGTTCTGTCCCATGCATGCTATCATGTCAGTCCATAGAAATACAATGAACACAGTCTACAACCAACATATCCTGTGTGGTTACAGTAATGCATAGCTACACTGGCCTGAAAAAAGAACATAATGAAAGACCTCAGCAAGTGGAAATCACAGGAAGTAGGGATGAGAGTCAGGCACCGAACTCAATGTCTTGTAAGCAACTCGTATCCAGTGTTCAGCACGGAAAGGTCAGTCCTTGTTGGAAAGTTGACTCGTCCTCTGTGATCCCTTCTGTAAGTATACAGCACTGCTGGTCATGTCCTGAACCGGGCCCATTGGGACAGTGCCTGCTGGTCTCCAAACCCAGCAGGCCTCTAGCTGTTTGATCCTCACATGCACAGAAGGACAAAGTACTGCCTCAAAAGACGAAATCAATTCCCCCTTGCAATTATTTACTTAAGTTAAACCAGATTTTGGGACTTCTACTGCTACTTGAGTAAATAATATGTGTATGTTTGCCACCTCTGGTTCTCCTTGCTGATTATATTCTAAAATACTTTTTTTTTGTTTTTTTATTTTGTATATTTGTGACTTTATTCTCATAATATTAGGATCATTCCAGTGACATGTTGTTCATCTGATCATAAATTTGGAGGTGCTCTGTTTGTTTTCCATTTTTCAATAGGATGAAGCAAATAAGAAAACATTGGGAAAAGCAGCTTTTATCCTTTTTATTTATTGTAAAGTAGATCTGAAATCGCCAAGAGAAGCAGGTTTACTTACTTAAAAGTCTGTCAAATGTTAAACTTTCAAAGAATTTGTTTCTCAAAAATAGTTGATTATATCATTTGGTATTTCTAATGTTTAAAAAACCAACAGGCAGCAGTTGTAACGCACGTTAAACACAAAAAGAGTTCTAGAAAAAAGCGAAGCAATTAATAGCTCTTCACAGCTTATTGCAAACTCAGAGAGCCTGCCTCTTGTTTTGAATCCAACAGCTTTATCATCCTGTAGTCTCGCCCACATGCAGGCACTGATGATGCATTTCATTACTGGATTTATCAGTCTGCAGCAATCCTGACTGTCATCTCTCGGTGCTGCTTTTCCCTCCACTGATGTATGGAACAGGAAGCCAAGCAGAACTAATGGGAAACAGCCTGTCTGAGGCTCACCTGATGGATGCCTGTCACCCCTCTGGGCTGCTCGGAATGGTGACATCATTGTACTATGATTTTCAAGATGCTTAACAGTCAGTGAGGAAAGTAGTGATGAAGTCAGGATGAGGTTTCCCTTGGCTATGGAGTAGTGCTTTGTTTACATTGTGACAGGTGATATTCTTTTGAGGAACTATAACTTGTAAAACTGCTCCAGGGAAGCAAAGACAACTCAACAGTCCTGTAGTTTAAAAAAATGAAAGCCACATCCACTTGAAGCTTAGGTTAAACACATAAATGCCTCTGCCCCCGTGGTGCCAACTTTCCTAAACATCTCCAACAAGAGATCACTCCTCTCTGCACAAAAGCAGCTTCACTATGTTTTGAATTAGAAAGGCTAAATGATGCATGAAGACACAGTGTGTGCAGGAGCATGCTGGGGAGGGATAATCACAAAGTTGGGGCCTGCACCCAGCGCCGTGGTAAATTCTGTGACCCTGACAGGGATGAAGTCCTTTTTCTGTCCTATATTTATGAAATATATGACTTTCCAGTTTGATTTATGTCCCTTTTATTTACATGGAGGAGGCAGGATTTATGATCTTCACTCAAGCCAGCCTCCAGTTGGCGATCGAGACACTTTGGCTTCAGTTCTGGGGAGCAGACATGTCAACCATCTTCATGGTTTCAATCCTTTGCAGGCAAGATGAACACAAAGATGTTATTTATGATGCTGAGCTTAAACATCAGAAACATGATCATCTTCCACATAAATGTACCATATTTAGTTTAAAGCCATATTTAATAGAATTACATAAAAGCTGTTGAATGATTTTTATTCTATTTAAATCATGAGCTGTGTAAATTAAACAGTCTCAAGTCATAAATCTGAGCAGGAACATTGATTCATTCATTATTAGTATAAACAACACATAGTAAACAAGATACATGGGTGATGTTTGTGTCCAATAACATGGTGGTAACAGCAAGAAAACGTTGGGAAATGCTGCGGAGCAGCTGGGAAAGAAGACAGGAAGGAAGGAAATGTGTGACTGAAAGAAAGACAGGAAATCCCTTAAAGTAAAAAAATTAAAATGACATCAGTGCTGGAGCTGTTGTTATTATTTCTATAATCGCATGATTATCTGCTGCTATTTCTGTCCCTACATGTTTGATTCTTTGTCACTGGTGTTACTTTACACTCACACTCTGCCCAAACTGGTAACACTTTGCTCTCACCTGCCTATTCAGCATTTATCAGGACACAAGCATTTAGTAATGCATTGTGATGTTTTTTTAAACAGCCATGGACATGCACAATTTTTCAACGTATGAATGTTTATTTGTAAAGTGTGTTGTTGTGTGTTACTACACTGTATTGTTATTTATTGATTTTGCCGACCTTGAATGGTCCCTGATAGAAAAAAGTGCAGCCCATAGATGCACTGTATGAATGTGTGTCTGAATGGGTGAATGGCAAAACTGTACTGTAAAGCACTTTGAGTGGTCATCAGGACTAGAAAAGCTCTATATAAATACAAACCATAACACAATTTAACCTTGCTAACCCAGTTTTCATTTGGTTTGCTGGTACAGTTAAAATCCTGGTTAGTGAAAAGAAGAAAAAGAATGGAAAAAGAACGGAAGAAATAATCTTAAATCTCTTTTTCTTCCTTTTTTCTTTGCTTCTCTCTCTCATACACACACTCTGCTCACATTTGTTATCATTAGATGTAATCTGAACTGCAGTGTGTGTGCAGTACCTCACAGTTACAGGTTAGCACCGTTTCCTCCAGTGTGACCTGGTTATCTGCCGACCTGTAAGTCGCACTGCTGAGGGAAATGACTCAGGCCAACAGGCCTCATTATTGTAGCCTCCCGTTTCAGGAGAAACAAACAAGAAAGGGAAGAAATAAACAAGCGGGGCTGAGTGACGAAAGGACCTTGGGCTTGTCTGTAGTTTAACATTGAGAAGAAATATGTGGCCACTTTTTCCACACGCTTCAATACCATGGCTGCCTTTGCCCTAATGGTGGAGTCTAACTGTTAACCCAAGCAGATTTTCTTCTGCCTGTATTTACTGCCATGTTTGAAGTCAGTCTTTACATGCAACATAATATAAAACCATTAAAAAGATTAGAATAGTTACTAAGTTTGTGCTAGTAAAGCTCTTACAACTGAAATACTTACATTTATAATGCAGCTTCTAGGAAACCATCTACTCTCCAGTCATGCCCTGATCGTATGACCTAGTGTGGGTCGAAACTGGTTTGTTGGGATATGTATCTTTTTACTTTGTTGGGCACTAACTAAAAATGTATTTTACCAGCAATCTTGGTGAGAAGTAAGACCTTGAAGTAAGCACAGAAGGAAATACTCTGTCAATCTGTGTTAATGGGTGAGAGTCAAACCTGATCTGAGCAGCGCCTGGTTAAATAACTTCCAGCCAGTGTTAGGACTTAACAAGTACATTTACTGAGTACATTTTTCAAGTATCTGTACTAAGCAAATGTCAGTACTTTCGACTCTACTGCTTTTTTACAATGCTTTATAATACAGGTTCACATTTATATTTTTTAAGTAATCAATAACAAGATCCAATCAGAGTGGGCAAGTAACATTAGACGCCGCCTCCTGTAGCAGCACTGGTGAGGAAACAACTAAAATGGATTCAGAAGCGGCCGAGACTTGATATTATGTGTTCAGTATTATCACCTTATTTATTAATATGACAGAGTCTGCATTATTCTTGTATCTAACAAAATATACTTTGGCACATTAATGAGATAATAGACAATTGAATAGGAGAGAATAGACTACACTCTGCAAGTACTTTCACTTGTAATACTTCAAGTATAGATAAGAAAGTACTTACTATATGTTACTTTTACTTGAATCTATCTTTGTCTATTTATTTGTAGTTTTATTTAAGTTAAATGTTTGAGAACTTTCTCCACCACTGCTTCAGGTACCGTTTGACGTTTAAAAATGCATCTGCTTATTTATAATTTTTTTCCAACTGTTCTAAATAAGAGTAAAAAGAAAAATTCTGTCTAAAAAAATCCCTCCAGACTTATCAAGCATGTCTTTCTGTGAGCTTTGCTGATTTCAAGTTAGGCACTCTGATTTGTACAGAGGCAGCATCACCTGCTGGCCAGTTGGAGTTACTGTGTCGCTGCTTTCATATTTGAGGGAAAGTGCATCATATGAAAGGCATCAGACCAATTCAGGTCACCGCTGAGTAATGTCTGAGGTGGTGTGATACATTATTCACACATTGCACGCGCATACGCACGTACATAGACTGTATCAAAGATTTATAAATGGGTCAGACTGGAAACTATTTACTAACACAGAAGCCGGAATCAAAGGGCAAAGGTTGAATCTCTGTCTTAAAATGTAATTTTTTAATCAACTCTACAATTCTTTAAAGTTAAAAATTATTTTAGTTTGTGTTTTTTTAACTTTGCACTGTTCAAGATCAAAACAATAATTTTCAGTTTAAAAATGTAGTTTTTATGCCTCCACGCTGGCAACCAGACACAGTTGCTGCTTTTCAGTTTAGAGGCCCAGCAATACCAATTGAAGGAAATATCACTTCTTCCTCTCTTCCACACAGAGGAGCAGACTACCTTACTCTAGCTGCTCCCAGGATTTAAATACATGCAAACCAAACATCAGTCGCCTGGCAACACATTAACTCAAATGTCCATTGGCTGGTGAAGTGAGTCCAGGCCACAACAGCAAAGCCGCCAAAAAGAGAGCTACCACACAACAGAGAAGGTTTAGGTTACTACAAACTCTTACAGGTAAGAAAGAAACCCTTTCAACTTATATTCAGTTTTTTTTTTTATGTTTATTCTGCTTATCTGCTTTTCCTGTTGAAACACCACAATATTGTTCTTGAGCGGTGGTGTTCACTGATTGTAAAGTGTTGGTGAATGGAACCATGAGTTATAACGTTACTCGACCTTACTGTTACAGCTGGCTGAACAATGTTATTTTAGAACATAGCACAAGGTCTTCCGCACTCATTAAGTTGCAAATCAGTAGATGTAAGCAAATGATAGTCAGTCACACGCAGCTGGTTACCAACTCATTAAGTCGACCCAGGTTTTCTTCATCAACATCTGAGCGCGTCCACATGAAAGGGACGGTGTTTCCTGCGTATAACCAATCACAGACATGGACAAGTGAACTGGCTCTGATTGTGTGAACGTGTTACAGAGCCCGCCAGTCACATTTGGGAATTAATACATTACGTGACCACAATATAATAATGCATGGGAAAGAGATAAATAACTCGGGGCCACAAGAGATTAATCTGTTTTTTACCAACATGATCTATTGATCTGAAGAAGCCTCCTGGATAAAAGGCTTCACTTACTCACATGATGTCGCCTCTATAATGAGTCTGCACTGACTCTGAGGACACACTGTAATGGAAACGTTTGCAATTACTAATCGATAAAAACATATGGACCTATTTCTTAATGTGCACATTTGGCGCTCTGATGACAGGATGCGTCTGGAGCATCTGGAAACAGATTGAGTTGTATTGTGTGTGTTAGCGGCGGGATTGACTTAACCAAGCAGACATTGTTTTAAACTTCCCTTATGGTGTCAGTTGGTGACTGTTTGAGACTCAGAGAGACTCTTGGGGGGAGGAATAGCGGATGTCACAATGTAAATCTGTAAACTATCGATCCCCCACTGCAAATAAATATTTAATTCCATAGGATAAACCTACTCAAAGGGAAATATTACAGCATACAACTATATCTTGTTATCCTGCAGCACATCAACACACCCAGTGCAGCAATGTCAGTAACTCCCACAAGTAAAGAAACAGAGAGCTATGCAGAGAGTCAGTGGTTAATCTGTTCCTGGTCTCTCTCTCTCTTCTATCTCCCCCTACCACTATTTCTCTCTATCTTCTCTCACCTCTTTTCCACCCATCTCCCCTCTCCTTCCCATTTTTCTTTGCTCACCGTTTCTGTTTCTGCTAGAGGTTTCTTCCAGTTATTAAGGAAGCTTTTATACTGTTTGATCTCTTATCTCTAACTTAACCTGACCCGGAGCAGGTTAGCCGTTCAGCATAACTGAATGATCTTTGTAAGACCAGAAACCTCAAATTTATCCTCATGAAAAAGAAAGACATGAGGAAGAGAGACAGAGAAAGATGCATGGTTAGAGCTGAGCTGATTTGCTTTGACGCCATCAGAAAATGCTGGCCAACTTAAATTCCATTTGAATGTATGTTTAAGCCTGTTAATTTATAAAATGTTAAAACGTGAATATTTTTTTCTCTGGCTGTTGTTGACCCCTGAGTCAACGTCCTAATAGCTGCTGAATCATACGCGATACAACCGTAGCTTAGCACAGATCTAATGAGTGCTACATAAATATTTTTTTATTGACAGCCTGCTTGCTCCCCATTCTTACTCTGTTAGACATTTCATCACAATAATATTTTTTTTACATTACATTTTTACACAACATACCTTGTGTATGTTCATTCCATGTGAGCTGAGCGTCTAACCACACACCCAAAAACCTCAAGACTTTCACTAGTTGTATTCTTTGTCCATGCATACTTAGCAACACCTCTTTTTCTAGTGAACAGTAACGCTTTGGTTTTTTTCACTGAGAACTTGAAGCCCCATGAATATGACAATTTTTCTACCACATTAATTGCCTCTTGTTTTTTTTTACCATAATATGCTTAATATTACTTCCCAAGGCTCCGTTCATCAGCAAAAAGCGAACGCCCAATATCACCCTGAACTTGAAAGAAAATCATTAATGGGAAACAATATTGGACTAATGACGCTGCCCTGAGGAGTACCATCTTCCACCATATACCTCCCTGATAAAGCTGTCTCAACTCTTACTTTGATAAAATAAAAAGTCTTTGATCATATTATACGTCATACATGCTATTCATATGAAGTTTAATTAAATCATTAGCTCTTCCAAACCATATCATTTGCAATAAAAACAGACTCTTTATTAACCTCTGTTCTTCATATTCTTCTGAGCCAAAAAATGACCTTCTCCTTTGTTCGGTGTATTTGGTGGGCTGCAATCGACATCAATATGCATTACCACAATCTACTTTGTCTTTCTTTCTTGGAGTGGGTTCTTGTTTGATGTAGAACCTATGATCTCACCTTTTACCTATGAAGATGGAGATGCTTCTCGCTTTGATGAATATAATGATAACTTTATTTTCTATAGCGCCTATCGAAAAAAGGTAACAAAGTGCTTCAGAAAAAAATGAATACACTAAAATAAAATGTATTCAACTGTTTTGTTAACATAATCTGCTGTCAACTGTCACCTCGTCTGTCACATATATCACTGAACACTAATAACTAGAGACCATTATGTCTTCCTGCAGCAGCATGGCAGCAGGAAAGAAAAAAACTAAGGCAGTTACCTTGAAAATGGCTCAGCAGTGCCAAGAGATGTTGTTGGACAACAAATGGCGCCTGGACCTTAGTTTCAGGGGCATCACCACAGTGCCAAAGGAAGTCCTGATGCTGTACGGTAGGGATGAGGTGAACCTGAGCAGGAACCTGATCAAAAAGCTTCCAGATTTCTGTGAAACTATGGAAAACATCAACGTCTTGGACCTGCACAGCAACAAAGTGAGTACTACAGTTAGCTGAGGACACTCAGTTATGTGATTCTACCACTTTGCTATTGATACAGAATGACCTTCTGTTAAAGCAGTGGCTTGTATGGTTAAACACCTGACCAGGGTTTTACCCAAATGGGATTTGCACCAGTTATATTTATAATGTGATTTTGGTAGTGTACTCAGGATGACCAAACTGATTTGCAAGCGAATTTATGAAGCTAATGCAGTGCCAGTTCTAAACCTGTCTAATATTGAATGAGCTGTTTGCTTGGCCTATGTTAATGTTCTGGAGCTACTTCAGAACTATTACTTATCCTCTTCAAACAGTTCTACAAGATACTGTCACTTTTTTATTGTTTGGTTGCTGGACATTGTGTGCAGACTCTATAGTGCACAGTGAAGTTAGAAAATGTTGCGTTCATCGTACCTGGTTTGTGTGCAATGAAGATATTATTGTCAATATTTTGGGTTGTGAAAAATGCTTCTAGTTTGTGTTTATCCTTCTTATTGGGAAACAATTAAGTTACAAATGATGACATGGACGATGCATCATTAGGACCATTTATTAAAAACTGATGAGAAGTGCAGAGAAAAGCAGGTTTCTTTACGAGCAGATGTGTCTCTACAAACTGATTATAAAAATGTCCAAACAAGACGGTCTGTGCAAAGATAAATAGCAAACACAGAGCACGACTGGACGCCTTCAAACCCTGGAACCTCCGAGGGTTTGCAGAGTTACAGGAGGATGTTTAACTGCTCCTGGTGGTATTTAATATACAGTAGCAGCAAAACATTTCGGTCAAAATTTCTGTTACTAGGCGGGTAAATAAATAACCTTATATCCAAAAGGTAAAAAGTGGAAGACTTAACTTTTTCAAAATAAGAAACAAAGGTAACAAACCTGTTGGGGGGATTTCTGCACATTTGCACAAAGCTTCTATAGTTGTGTGAGATTTTTCCATTGTGGATTTTGAGGTGTGTATATGATCATTATCCTGTTATAGAAGAGATCCTCTTTTCCTCTTCAGCATTTTTTTACATATGGTTTGATCTGTGCTTCCAGAATCCGCTGGTGTTTTACTGAATCCATTCATTTCTCCATCAAAGAAATGTTTCCCACTGCAGATCCATTCTCGTGTTTAACAGCTGGAGATGAAATTCATGAAATCCTGCACCACCTTTTCCTCCAAACGCAACTTTTCTTACTGCAGCCAAAACTTTTCAGGCTTTCTGTGATCTTCCATGAAGGTCATATTTGTGCAGGTGTGGCTGCACAGTAGAACAGTGCACCACCACCACAGTCTGCTAAATCATTCTGAGGGTCTTTTATAGTCACACAAAAGGGTTTTATTTGCTTTTTAATGCAGTTCTCTCTGAAAGATTTGCTTTCTAGGTCTCAACTTGACATCCATCATTCGAACTGAGGTAATAGCTACCTGCTAACACTTTGCTAACTTATATCCTCCTGCTTTAACTCCAGGGTCACAGTTTTAATTCTGCCTGAGTGCAAGACAGATGCTTGGAGGTGCCCATGGTTCCTGAAACAATTAGAAATGGTATCAATCCCCTTGTGCCTTGTCAACTTTCAGATTTTCTGAAATATATTTCTGTTAGAAACTCCTAAAAATTGTGGTCTGGGAAAAATACATACATACCCTTCTTGATGCATTATGACACGAGGGCCGTGGAACTCCCTGACAAATATTGCATGAGAGCAGTGCATTACTTTCCTCAGAGTTCTGCTCTCACCGTAGTTCCTCTGCCTATTTTACCCCCTCTTGGCCTTAATAAAAAAATAAGCCCCCAGGGTCTTTACATCTGCTTATCGCTGCTGCCACAGTAATTTGACACAGACGTTTTTTCGCCGGGCCTGACATTTACACAGAGGGACGGCAGAACATTCCTTTTTCTCATCCTGGTAAATCTGTTCGCCATTAGCCGGTGTCAGACAGACGCAGGAACCGAATCCATACACTTCACTCAGGAATGGCTTGGTCATGCAGGGGTCAATCACTCATGGTTCATAATGTCAGCGGCAACCAATGCATTTCTAGTTACGTGACGTGAGAAAAGATAGTTTGGAAGGTCGGGTCCTTCTGGAGAGAAATGGGCGGCACAAACTCGTTGTAAATCTTTCACCACGTCTGTATGTAAGGATTTTAGTGACCACCGGTCTGTTTTAAACTGATTCACGAAATCAGCCTGCACCAGGGAACTTTCCACCAGAGGAGAATATGGCGCTTTACCCATCATTAACTGAGAGGTTCAATCGGCTATTTCATACAGTGTTCAACTCCGTTTTCATAGCATAAAAAAATGAAAGCATCACTTACAAACTTACATGTGAACAATCATCAGTGTGATAAGAACTACCGGAAACAACAGAAACCATCTTTGAGAAAAAATACAGTAATTTAACTTTTGTGTCTATGTCCCATCCATTAACATTTAGGAGGAGAGCTTTGGCTTTGCTCTTGGGAATTTTGTCACGTTGTCCCTCTCTATATACGGTTGTGTTGACTTCTCTGGACTGGATGTAAAGTCAGAGGTGTGGAATCATCCAACATGAATATAATTCATAACAAAAGGAGGCCTCTGTAGCTTTATTCACTTTTGGTTTTTACACTTAATAAATGTGGATGATGTGATCTTAAATCACAGTAATGGTTCAGAACGTCTGCAGTAGAATATACTGAGGTTTGTGTTTAAGTATGCCTCCCTGAACCCTAAAGCAACACTGCGTGCACGCACACATATACAAACGCATACCTGAGAAAACTGGAAATATTATCACACCAAGTTGTTTGTATTAACCGACTGCGGTTTGTTACGTTTGAAATCAACCGTGTCTTTTTTAATTTATGGTGCTGCTCTCACAGCTTTGGCTTGAGATGCGAGTCTGTCACGAGAGGAAAAACACATGGTCTCCCATATACAGTAACCGGTCTCTATACTGTACATCTGGCCAGCTCTTATGTAATTATCATGCCTCCCATAATGACTAACATGTGAGCAAACATTTAAACAACTGTACAATCATACAAAAGACATGTTTAACATACATTCTCTCTGAATTGCATTTAAGTAAATAAAGCTAAATTGCTTTGAATTAAGATTTAATGACACAGCTAGAACTTGCATGACTGTTCTCATGGATACCAGCAACTTGTGCATTCTGTAAATGTTTCAAATAGACTCATTAATTATATCATAGCTCCTCCCGTTGTTTGCGTGACAAGTCGTTTTCTCCTCCCGTCTCTACTCTGACACGCCTCAATCCACCAATCTCTACATCCTGTGCATTTAAAGCCCACTCCCCATGTCGTTTAGGTCAGGATGTTTTCTCTGTTGCTGTTTTTTTTTTTTTTTTTTTTTTAATTAAGTGTGTTTGGAACCAAAGAGATGACTA